ACTCTGGCTTTATTCCTTCTTACCCAGTTCAGTATTTTGTGGAGAACGTTGGTACTCGGAAAGTACTCGACTACAACACTGCCCACAGCCTGGTTTGTCTACTCTGAAGCATTTAGACTAATAAGAAACCACTGTGTCCTATAGCTTTACCCATGGAATTCCATAACCACATATCTGTGTAAATAGGCCCATAGTTGTGCCAAATTTTTCAACGTTAATACATTTGAATACTTTCCATTCCAGCCAACACCATCGAACAAAATACTTACGGTGTCCGATCTGACCACGGAATAGAGAGGCAAGCTGTCTGCTATTGCTGAACACACTAGCTGCCCTAGAACGAGGGCATAGCATGCGAAGAATGTCCCAAAACGGAATGTGTCGTATTCTGTCTGAAAGAAGGCAATTCACATTGAATGACATGTGATTTGTGTTCACATAGACTGAAACCTGGTAGTCATAACTTGAAACGGTTGTGTTTTATACATCTGATCAGTTTATTTATACCTTAAATTTATACCTAATAAAAGCCTTGTGTCTTGGATTGAGTGTCAAGGCATACCAGCAGGAACAGTGTCACTTGGAAACATGGCAAAACTTTCTGCCACCTCAGTGTTCCACAAAGGAACATTTCACAGGGAACAGAGGTGTTCCAACTTTTGAGGCCTTCCCTTACCTCCCTGAAGGCAAGAAGGACTTTGGAGTTAAACTCTGCCACGCCGCAGACTGCCAGCAACAGCCAAAAGCAGAAGAGGACTCCGGAGGTGTGCCTGCCTCTGATGCGCTCGGTGTGGATTATGAAGAACACCAACATCTAGACCAATCAAAATCCATGACTGAATGTACATAAGATTGAGTGCCTTCCATCAACCAGCAGGCCAAAAATCAAGCTGTTGATTCAGAAGACCTGCTGGGATTGCGATCTACATTTGGCAATTGGACAAATTTATCAGGAACGTGTCCCTAATGCCTGTGTACAAATCAGGACCACACTCTCACCCTTTGCACAATCAGAGGTTTAAACCCTCATCTCATGTCATTTGTTGGCAGCAAATACAACAAAGTCTGAGAATAAATCAAGCACACAAAGTGAATTTTGTATAAAGCTGACGTTAATTACAAGTGTTGCTGTTAAGACCAGACACAAGACCATTCACAAGGCCAGCCTCAAAAAGCAGGTGGAACATTGACAAAGATATGCTTTGGTTGCAGTTCATTTAAACAGTTTGTGACTTGAATTAAGCCTAGAGGTCTTGCGTAGGTGTTTGTAAAGGGGTCTCAACCATTTCACTGTTTCTTACCATAGTTAATGTGACAATTGCTGGTGAGATGAGATAAACGGGTGCGGGGGGCTGTGTTGAAGTAAATATCTGAACCACCGTGAAACAGACTTCAGCCAGAGATATAAGAATCAACAGAACGACAAAAAGCTGCAAGGACAAAGGAAAGCAAAGACAATATCAACATTGTTAACACCTAAAAGCATCATTTGAAATGCATCTTCTTTGAAATTCAAGCAATATTTTTTTCAATTATGGACTTTGCGATACAGAAACTTGGGCAGCCAAACTTTCTTCTAATGAATAAACTTACAGCGGCTTTACATCTCTTTGTAATTTTTATATTTTCAACCTGCATGTAGATTACAGAGGGCCATCTTTAAAAACATTACACCACACATCATACCGGTATATGATTAATTTGGTTGTAAATGACTCCGCAGTTGGAAAACAGGTGGATCCCATAAAACATGTAAAATGAGTCGTAAGTCTTTCTGTCATGTCTGTGAGGCAGTTTTTGTTTCTGGCTGCATTACACGCAGAGACGCCACTGTTATGTTTACATGTCTTTCAGTTTTACATCCTGATGAGGATACATCACATGTACATGTACGTGGGAACAAAATATTGAGGGTTTATATAAATACTTCATAATTTGAATGCCAGTGACTCTCTTTCTTAAGCCATCAAAAACCCAAAAATTTATACAAATTAATGCAGATTTCCAGTTGGTTTAGTATACCATTTTGGTCCTGTGCAAACAGGAGACTTGGATGCAACCTCGGTCGTGCCTCCGCATGTAGTACAAGTAGAAGGGCGCCACCACCCAGAGAAAGAGGAGAGGTAGCCAGGACAGGACGGTCTCCTGGAAACATGGCGACAGATCTGGATGGGTGGAGTTGAGCAGAGATGGCTCCTGAGGGACGTGATAAAAACAAAGGAAAGTCTGATAACATTAATTTTGACTACTCCTTGGCCTTCCTCGGTCTTCTGAAATCAACTGGGAAGTTCCAGGCAAATTTTTTTTTCAAGATGGATGAAAAAACACATGCAGTGAACAACCACCTAAACTTTGTTTCACACTTTGCATTACTTGACACATCAGGAAAGTTTCTGTAAAACACAAATGATCTGAGCTTGGTTTCCTGAACAGTACAGGAGTCTAAAGAATTCAGAAAATGTTCACAGCAATGGCGATAAAGGTGTTTAAGGGGTGAGAGTTTTTTCCTCTGATCCACTGTTTGAAGCAAAGCAGTTGTGTTAGTGGCTGGCAATGAGAGGTCTGAACAGTAGTAATGTAGGTACCATATCAAGTGTTGGGAAAGTCCTCATGAATAACATGTAACTCAATGGCATAGACTGTAAAACAATATTCCTTCTTCATCTACATTGTATATGTATCTCATTTTGGTCCTCCAAAAGTTATCTTTTTTTTCCCGATTTAAGATGTTGGAAGGTGTTGCTGACAACCACTTGCAAGGACACTGCTACTACAGTGATGCCACTTTATACACGTACAAGCTCTGATGAATAGCATATGTACAAATTATGGCCCTTAGATAAAGATCACAGAAAATGATTGTGCACAATGTTTTTTCAATGACTGACTCTCAAGGAAGAAATCTACAGTGGAAAACAAACAGAAATACAGGTAGTGATGTACCTGGTAGACTGTGACACTGACTCTAAAATAAGGCCACTTTTGGCATTGTAGTTTTAGGATTGTATTTTTAAAATCTTGTTAAATTGGGCCTTTAAAGCATAAAATAGGACCACAGATTCAGTAAGTGAAACAAGAACAAACCAGATCCATACAAAATTTTACAACTGGTATTTGTCTTATTTGACAATAAATTTTTTTAATATAAATGCAGAAATGGTAATCTAGGCCCTATCACACAAAGTAGGCAGTACAGTACAAGTACATGCCATGATTGGAAAACCGGGTGGGTTTTAAAATGAAACAAAACGTTTACATGACACATACAGCACACATCAGGTTCATTCATTTTGGGGAGATGCAGTGGTAGAAGTGACTACCAAAATGAAACTGTGAGAAAAAACTTACAGATATCCCTGTGAAGCTTGTTTGTTTATTCACGGGATATTCTGGAGGTTTACATGGAGACTTGACAAACCTGGGTCACAGATTTTAACAACCTTAGTTTCTACACAGGCCAAAGAAAGAAGCAACAAACAAAAGCCCAGGCTTTGATTGTTTGGTCATGCCTGGCTGCAAAGCCTGTTAACAAGCAGACTAGCAGAGCCCAAACAGCTAAGCAATCAACTTACAATAAAAGATTGTCACATGTGAAGGGGTGAACTTCCATACAACTTCTGGGACATAGGTTTTGTCAAGGCCAGTGATCAAGGGTATTGTACACGTGCATGTACAATACAAGTAGCTGCAAGGCTGTGCAGTGTTTATTCAAGTCCATCACAAGTCATTAAGTCTTAAGCAAATTCACTTGTTATTCAAATGAGCCGAGACAAAAGCATTCTTTTGTCAATGTTGTCCTTTACCTGTACTTATGACTGGCCTTGTGAAGGGACTTGTGAAAGGATTTGTGATAGACTCGAATACAACACTGTTGCTATGTACGTGTATAATGTACACAGTGCATGCTAACATTGTACTTAGTTGTTTTGCTGAGAAGTTCTGCTAATAAAAGCAGTCATGATTTGGTTTTGGTCCGAAATGTGATTTTGCCAGTGTTCTTAAAAACATGGTATTAGCTATTCAGGGAAATCAATGATGCATTGCAGTAGATTTCAATCTAGCTCTGATGGTTTGGAGGACAAATGACTTGGCATGAATTTCTGTTTCACTCCTAACTTGCTGGAATTACTTGAGGCATCCTCTTCTTAAAAGTCTTCACGGCTTACTTCAAAATAAAAATCCTATTTGTGTTCTGGTCCTACCTAATGTACATGTAACCTTCCTCAATCCTCAAAAATCCTTCGGGCGGTTTAGGAGGATTGTGGGTGAATGGCAAAAGTGCATGGCTTATTGCGAAGGATGCCACGCATGGACGTCGTTGGTTAGGCCTTGTGCTGTTTTTGCTTAGTCATGCATAAATTCAGCCTGATATTTCTTTTGAATCAACCGCATTGCTCAGGAATGCCATTAACACTGCCTCAACATAATGACAAGAATTGCCGGAGAATTTTGAAGGATTGAGGCAATAGGCACACCTCCAAGTAACATTTTCAAGACATATTGGAGGATTTCGGAGGAATGAGAGAGAATCCAATTTTTTTCACCCCCAAATTGGAGGATTCTGGAGGATTGAGGAGGGCTTGAAGCAAAAAAGGGCCTAGGAGGCTAGGGTTGCCTACCCTCTGTCTGACCCAATTCTAGTCCCCGGCATAATAGACATTGTATACATACAATACAATGGCTTTGTGACTGTGCACAAGAACAGGTCAACAATTCCAAATCCTAAGTACATTTAATTCATGAGCTGTCTGGAAATGATGCAGGGAGTCAGATGGTTAATCCTGGCTTGCTACAGACTGCTCACATTTTGCCCATAACTTACACGTATATGGTCGGCCAAAATTTGCAGAAATATCACTTTTTGGTTGGCTTCCGATTTTACCTCAAATTTGTCCAAAATTGACATTTGTCCCATTAATTTAAAATAAGAGTCGTATTTTCATTTAGTGGTACTTGTATCATTTATCTGGTGTTCTGATAGCTGAGTGGGATTTTTACACTTTGTAAATTATTTTTTTACTTTTGTACCAATGGCCAACCATACCGTTAGTTTTCCGAGTGACCTGTAGGAAACCAGGACTGTGACACCAAAAGAGCAGACCCTATTTTGCCCAGCACCAATACCAACAAGCACAACCCACAGTGTCTTCGCCTACTGTGGGAACCTTCTGGGACTGATATGACTGCATTGAAATCGTGGAGGAAGAAAAGACTCCATGCTGATGATGACACTATAACAGAGCAAGGACCTTGCTCTATAACCCTGCATGCTTTCCTTGGGTCCTACTGGCTCCATAGGAAAGCGCAAGTGTAACATACATGTACGAGGCTAATGTCCATTGTTACTGACCAACTTCCTTAGCCCTAACAGTACCGGGCGTTGTTTGGCTTAGAGTACTCAGTACTACAAAATACTACAGAACACTCCGAGCCTGAAGGACCTAGCGCTACAAATTACTATTTCTGGCAAGGTATATTCCACTGTTACTCGTACAGAGAACAATGAAACCATGCATTCATAGTACCACAGCACTGTATGGTACATTGTCTTCTTGATTGTGTTTTATGGCTTCAAAGAATAATAATGTCATGTCCTCTTACAAGCGACAGGGCTGAGTACTACATTTTACTACTAAGTAGTACTTTGTAGCATTCGGGACTGTTAGGGCTAAATTAGCCTAACCATGGAGCTAACGGGCACTGCTGACTTCTTGTGATTGTCTACTTGGATGCAGCCGAGGCATTGCATGCGGTGTGAATGGGTGTGTGTAACTACAAGCTTGCATAGGTTGCGTTAACGTGAACATGTATTCAACATGGCTTGTTAACTTGCAAATGGAGTTCATGAGTTACTAAAGCACAGCTCAAGCTCTCACTGTTTCAAAAATGAAGAAAAACTTGTCTTTGATTGCTTCGGGGGTCGTGGCCTATCTGCTGGCCCCTTCTGCATGTGATACACAGACGGTGAAGGGATTGTAGTCACAATCACTGCATGGCTGCTCATCTCGGCACATTTATGTACACGTTGAAACGTTCCATGTTTGGGAGCTGTTTTAAGAAACTCCGGAATATTTTGAACATGAGGATGAATTTGAACAACTTTTGAATGAAACTTCCAAATGTTGATGTGCTGTGTACTCAGTATACATACTGTGAACTGAGTACTGCATGTACCAGTAACACACGCGTATAATTCGGTTTTAAGATGGATGTCTACAGATGATACATTTATTTTGAACCTGGGATCTCTGTAGGTCAAGTCAGTAGTTGAAGCTATTTTAAGCAGAGCAGTGGATCTTGGAATGATGAATTGTATAATGCATTAAGAGTAAAATCACTTTGTCGATGGATTCAGAAAAACTATATAAAACTACATACAGACAATTCAAACTCCAAATGCGACAGGTACATATAATCACAGAAAGTTACCCCAGAGGTTTGTATTTCTTTTTCGCAGGATTTTACTGATGAGTAAAAGAATCCAAAGGTAAAGAAAACTCAACTTGCTGTCTATTATATTTTTAAATGTCTTAAATTTTGCACTTCTATGGTATACATGTACCTGTGTGCTTGGTATTTGTTTGTGGACCTGCTTCCCACTTACATATTATGTTGCTCCAATGGCTGTTCCATGGAGTGGATTAGCTCCCAATTTGAATTTTTTCACCAAACAGTGAATTTGAAAGATGTTAAATTGCAGCAAGATAGATCACGTCATAAATCATAACTTGAACAATCTTTCCCTAGAACAAGTTTAACACCAAGTGGAACATTTTAACACGGTGAACTCCGCAGAACAATTTCTGCTTGAAAACTTGGACTGTCTCTTTAGAATGCCCACGGGAGAGGATAGAAAGGTGCAATGTCTTTGATGAGATATTCTAACACACCGCCCTCCCCTCTGTGCTGGTGATACATCATTTTATCCAGATGATGTGCAAGCATTCCTTCCCTCGTACCAAAACCAATCCTCGATTGTGGGCCTGAAGCGTTTAAATTAAATTGTATTACTGTAATTTTTGGTGCTCTTGCATCTTATTTGATGTTTTGTGGCACTATTAGACTAATTACTGGGCTTACAACTTCAAAGTCAGCAAGTTAAAAACGCTTGAAGCCTGAGACAGAGCCAATGTTGGGTAATGGAAAACGGCCCATACCTTTGGCTTGTCGTGACAAATACCCACTGGCCAGGGAGGAGATCATAGCCTCGATTACATTTCTGCTTGCCTCTGAGCAGACATTCATCAATTTTGACAATGCATCCTGGGCCACCAAATTGTATCTGATTTGCAATCAGCCATCTTGAACAAATGTCTCAGAAAATTGAAAACCAGTTGATGACTAACACTCTACTGAAAGATCCTGCCAAGATCTTTTCAATAAAAGTGACAGGAGTAGTGTAGGCAAACATGTAGAGCAGAGAGACTTAGATGACTGTTGAAAAAGAAGCTACCATACCAAATGAACCTCACTTCTGCAACTACAGCATTGCAACTTGGCTTAGTCTGGGCGTGTACATATGCGCTGAATCTCTATCAAGTGGTTGCCACAACCTGTGCACTCCAGCTGAATTCCATGAGAAACAAGCACACCCTTCTTTCTAAGCCACTCCTTGCAGGCTTCAAGACTTGACAAAAACTGCTACCAAGCCAAACAGATCCATTGTGTATGAAATAGACAGTCAAATTCCGATTTTTCGCTCTAAAATTCTTCATACAACACAATCCTTTCACTCATAATGAAAGCATACTTTCTTTGCGCCTACTAGTTCATATTCCCCACCGATCCTCGCATAAAAACTTTTGATCAATCAAAAAACCTTCTTTTACACTTGCAAATAAATTATTATCCAATCAGCAATATCCTTTCAAATTAGTTTGGTTCCATGCTGATGTCTTGCTGTTCTCTGTAATACTCCTACTCCCCCTAAATGTGTCTTGACCAATCAGAGATCGGCTTCAAGAGCTTTTCAGTAACCAATGGCAACATTCTAAGAAACCAGCCAAGACACTTTTGCCATTTTTAATTCCAGTGACTGCATGTGTGCATGGTTTGAGTCACTGTGGTTGTTTTTACCCCATTACAGGCATTATTTCCTTCACAAATCAAAACCCTGCCTTCGTTCCACAAATTTTATTCTGCAGTTATTTAGTATGGAATAACGTGAGTTAATAAGTTAAAAAGTAAGTTTCCGATAGGAACAGGGTCCAAAAGTTTACAACACCCCCCCAGTACAGTTGTTTCTGTATGAAAATTTATTTGTGTTCCTACACTGACATGAAAGACGTTTTTGGGAAAGGATCTAATCCTGCAATGGAAACTAGGCATATACATGTACTACAGTACAGGCTACACATGTACATGTACACCTGATACACCACTTGGTTGTAGACCTACACCTCGTTTCTCCGTGTGTGTGTTTACATACCCACAATTGAGAGCCACCACAGAAATCCTGCCAGTCTAGAGCCGATTCCTCCCCCATTGTTCTCTCGAGTGAAGACTGAAGCGAAAATGTGCTGCCATAGAGCACTGCTTATTTAAATGTAACTTCCACCAGCCCCAAGCTTAAGCTGTTTTACTTGGCCATGCTGGTAGTACGCAGCTACTGAGTAGGCCGGCCTACGTACATATACAGCGTGTGCAAAGTTCAGCTCGGCGAAGTTCCCACTTAAGTTCTATTCGACGGACCCGCCTAACGCCCGCAGCCGTCGCGTCCGCATCATGCATCATCTGTACGTGTAGTCACGTGATGCAATGGTCATGGTCTCCGAAAGCGCGCCCTCTTTTGAGTTAAATGACCTCCCGTTTTCCGGATATAGCCGAAATATTTCGAAGTCGTCCCGTTTACCACTACTACATGTAATTTGGCATGTTCGAATAGTACCGTTGATGTTCGGTTATTTCCGACCGGGTAGGTCGGCTAGCTGTTAAACGTAAACTCCCGTATCCTAATGCCAGATGTTGATCCAACAGTATTTGACTTAACACTGAAATCAAATGTCTTCTTGGCGGATATCAATGCCAGACGAAATGCAGAAAATATGGGTGCACCACTGGAATGAAATTTAAACACCCGGCTCCCAGCTTGTGACCCCAGGCCTGACCCTTGCATCATATCTATTTACATCTGTGGGTGATGCCTGCCTAACATTTTTTTGCTCAAGAGTCGTCAGGGAATCTTTGGGCAGGGAACCAGGCACTCTGGAGATACATATTTTGTACATACTATTGCTTTTGACCTATGAACTTGCAATTTGCAGCATTACATCCACTGACTAGATAAAACTGTTATGGCATCGATAGCTCTTCAAGTTGTCCCATTTCTCTTCAAATCTGGCCATCCTGATCATGGCTCAGGGGGGCACCCAACAGAGGTGAACTCAAAACATGCGAGTAGAGCATACACGTGTTCAATCAAGTGACAATATCTGTCTTATCAAATATACTAAATTCATGTCAAGCCCCATCAAATGCAGGTTAAGCTCCCTTCTTGATACCCAACTACATGTAATTATACACAGTTGGTATAATGTTCCCAAACTATTCAAGGTGTTGATAGGCAAGCTTACTGGGTATTTTTTTTGGGGGGGGGGTCTGCAGTTGTAAATCCACAAGCACCATTTTCAATTACATGTATTAAAACAAACCTATAATGGTGTTGATTCCAATTCTGGTTTCTTTGAAGGGGTATTCAAATATGAAAATGTGACACAAAAGCAACAGGAATAGTCCCATAAAAAAAGAAGTTCGTTTACGATCATCAGAAATTTATTCCAACTCGATCTCTCAAGTAAAACACAACACTGAAACACCGTAAAAACTGTGCAAATTAAAAGCAAGGTTACATTCACTATGTCTTTTTCCAAGTTGCATTCAATATAACAATCAGCTAAAAAGTTCTTTTTTTAAGAGGCAAAGGTGAACACGGTGAAATACAGAATTCATGCACTTTTCCTGTTAATGCAATAAAATACACAGCGGTTTGTCAAATACATGTACATGTAAAAATTTCACAAGACAAAGTGAACGTTACTCATGCTGAAGAACATGGACTTGGAAGCAACTTGCTGACAAACCAGTCAAGCAAATCAGTGTATACAGTGTACTTATGTGCACTGCACTTGGTAAGTGCACTGTACAAAGCACAATTCAAGGGAATGCAACGCTTACTGAAAGCAGTGTTGGAAATGCAATGTAATTCGCTTCGGCTAGTAAAAATAAAATGCCTTGGGAAGCTGCTGACTTGCTGAATTATGCCTTTTGAGCAGGCACATTCATTCTTGTTGTAGTCAAGCATTCAGACATGGTCCCAGAAATCTCCAGCCCTAGAATGGTCTGGTGCCTTTGTCATTCTCAACCATTGTGAATAGCCTGGTTCTGGACACTACAAATAAACTATGATGAGGCTAGCTCAAAAATCAGTTTACTGGTACACCGGGAATTAGAATTCAATGCTCACCATCAAGTCCCATCCCCCATTCACATTTTTGTAGTTTTAAAGCATTAAGATGGCAGATGTGGTAGATCTTCCTGGGAATCTGGGCAACACTTTCGGAAAGAAATCCCCATTTACCTGCTCCCCCTTCGAAGTTAAACCTTGATTTACCAAGTCCTGTTACAAAGGCACACAGCTCGTGCATGTGAGTTACATGTACAAGTAACTGGCAATGTTTCCCTGCATGCATGAAGTCTGCAAGCCGTTGAAGGCACCCTCAACTGTCGACAACAAGCTTGTCAGTTGGTGCAACTCAAGTTCTTCAGCACAACAGTTGTGGAAAGAAGAACTCGGGCGGGTCAAAGGGCTCCCACTTCAACTGCTTCAGTTTGCTTGCACAGTCCAATCCATTATATCCCACACCCCATGAAGTTTTGACCAATCAGTGATGACTGCATGAACAATGTCCGATAAAGTCCAGCATGAGTGAGCAAGTCAGACGAGACCCCTTCATAACAAGGTCTTTGGGACACTGTAAATTGCACCTTGTACACATACAAGGATCTTGTCAGGAATAGAAAACAAAATGCCAAGACTTTGGACCTAAAACTCTTGTCAGCAGGACAAAGTGATCATATTAAACATGTTCAGTCCATTCTCAATATAACAAACTGTGTAACAAAATACTTGTAATAAAGTCAATTTTTGAACCATTTTTTGAATTATTTTTCCATTCCCTTTTATTACGCATTCCTGGTAATAACAAAAGTATTTGTCTTGTCCCTGCAATTTTAGGAGCCGACTATACTTGTACTGCCAAACCTTGCTAATAAGAGCACAGTCAATGCAACATGTTGCTTATATTAGAGGATTTAGGTCCCAATCCTTCGTTCTTCACTCTTTTCATTCCTGATATGTTAAGATAATCTGCTAAGACCAAGGGGCCTCTTGTCAGTGAGATTCGACTGAATTGTTTATCGCTGATGCCCATGTACCTTGTGCAGAGTGGGTTGGAGCCTAATGAATGGGGTCTGGTGCCCAGATACTTACTTTTAAGCCCAGCCACTGGATTGGCGCAGACATCCGGGTCCATTTAATACTGCGCGTCTTCCAGCCTTGCCTGTTGGGGAAAATGCTGGTTAACCTAGTTTTCCAGAGGTGAGGCCTGAATCACTCCACTTCGAGAGGAATGTGTTTGGACCGAACAGAATGGAAGGAACCCTTCGTAAGTAGTAAAACCCAACATTGTGCCAGCGAGCTTTACTGCCACACTTTTTTTTTTAAGTGTGAATACAAAAATCCCATCTATTGGGGGTTTTGAGAGTACAGTGTAGAAAGGCTTCTCGGAATGAGAAAATCTCATCAGTGATGTAAAGTTGTCACAAGTCTATGAAAAGTCAGTCAATAAGACCTCTATCATGGGCCAGCCATCTTGCTTTTCTACCATTCAAAGCTGTGTAACCAGAAGCTGGAAGGGAAAATAGTCTGTCCCTTTTATCACTGTGCAAACTTGTACTACTATTGCCCATGGGTCTACTGGGAACAAGATAAACATGGAAGCATCACGATAAAGGTCTATAGCTATTCAATTGAATAAAGGCTTTCCTTTCAGCCTGTCACAGTTCACAACTTCTACCTGTGACCAGGCATGTGATTTGACTGTCGTGAGACATTTAGCAAGTTGACGATAACCGTTTCTCCACAAAACCAAAGTTTCTATTCTTTTGTACATTCAGGCATAGAATTAAGACGGGAAGTAAGATTTCATCTTGGGTTCCCCAGCGTAAGCAACTGCAGATAAGAGTTTCAACTTCAATTTTGTCTGTCACAGCAAAATGAAAGTACATCTTGAAAATAAACGAATTTAATTGTCGTCCAAAATCTGAAATTCAATTTACTTGCTCAAACCCATACTTTTCTGACAGCAGTACACCTGAAAAGCTGAGGTTGAAAACTGACACCCCCCCCGACTTGCCTTGGACTCAGTTGTTTTTCTCTCTAGTTTGACCAGATGGATCCAGGCATATGACCACTGTACACACTGTACCAGCATTCCCAACAATGCAGGAAGCCTTATTTGTGAAGGACTCTAAACCTGTATGTAGTGCAGAAAATGAGTCCAAATATCGATAGCTTTTTGAAGTACTTCCTGGGGTTCTCCCAGCACACCTCATGGTACATGTACTGGTGAAATCTGGAAAATCCAAATTAGTTGACCAGCACGTACATGTGTAAATGTACATGCACAATGATCAGGGGTAGCAATAGTAAATATATATGAAAGTCTTTGGAGTTTCATAAGATGGTTGGCAGTTGGGGGGACACAGGGCTAGTTAAGGAATCTGATTTCCCAGTAAGGAGCATGAGAAGAGATCAAGTGTGCTCATCTTAATATACATACAAGGGCAACAAAAGGGTCGGTGGTGTCTCTTCTTGGACGATTTGGTTCTGTTGCAAAGTTTTTATGCATGTAGTTCAGAAATGGTGTTCAAAACGTACATGGAAACTGAGACACCCTGTATGGTTCAGTCATGGAGCTATTACACACGGCTCTATGGTTCAGTTAAGCTCTGCATGCATGTAAAACAGGAATGATACAATCACACAGATCTATGCTTAACTTACACTCCAAGTACTGCGCTTTCCTTTTTATCTGTGAGCTGTGGGGGGGATGCCAGGTACGAGAACACGGCTAGACAGCTACCTCTCGGCATTTTCAGCAGCACCAGCAAGGGATGTCTGAATTGGAACAGCACCAACACTGCACTCCATGTCTCACCCACGGACTGCACGAAATGCCAACTGCCAACGCCCGATATCTGGGCTCTGCTAACACGGCAGCACTGGAATATTTTCAGCAGGGCCCCAGACTGCCATCTTGGCCTGCACACACGGCTATGTACACACTGCCAATCACCGGTACTCTGCCCATCACCGGTAACTCAGCCAACTGCAACACTGCTAACACCTGCTAGCTCGGTACCGTGTTAACACCAACCAGGTCTGCCTTACTGCAGTCCACTGCATGACTTTATTACTAACTGCATTAACTGCTTAGCGGATTACTGCATCCTATTAGCAAGAAAACAACAGAGGAAATTGCAAGTTAGAATATACACAACTTTCTACTTTTTAATACAGTAAGCAAAATCTGAGTAAGAGTGAAACTTAATTAGATCCGAGTAACACTTACATAAAAGCATGCATTATCAAAACAACAATTCTATGTAAAGCATAGTGCCTAAAGTTAAACATTACCACCTAAGACAACTAGTCAAAGATACATGCAAGTCACTAAGTTTCATGGAATAAGGTGAATATTGTTTCCAATTTACAACACCCACTAGTTCAAAGGATCAAATCTTATTTACATGTATTCATTTTTCAAAGAACTTAAGTCTTGTATCTTTTCTTGATATGCAGATTCAATATTTTGTTCCTTCTTTTGCTGTGACTGTATCAAACTGAAACAAGGAAATGTGTTCCTGTTTTGTACATAATCAGGAGGCTTTCACTTGAAACTCACTGAAAAAAACACGCAATGTTGACGGACCAGGAAAATATCCCAAATTAGTTCGAGTTAGAACAAACTTAAATGCTGGTGTATGTAAATGGTAAATGTCTGAAGCGATACTGAATTCTGCACTTTTACTTTAATATACAACAGCATTACTTGCATAAAAAAAAAAGAATGTAGCATGATAAGGAAACATGGGTCTTTTTCATAATCACTAGAACTTGTTGCATTTCTGAGTACATATGATTTCTTACTTTTTTGAAATAAAATATGTGAACAAGAGAATATGCTCAGAAAACCCATCCTTTAAAAAATCCTTTACATGTACCGATGATCAAAAAAATGAACAAAATTAAAATTAAAAAAAAGGTGCCATTACCAGAAGACAGAACTTTTTTAGGAACCCTTTTGCAAGTATTTTATAGCTTCCACATAAATGTATTCCACAAAAAAATGGTTTTAATCGTTTTCAGACTCTGGTGCTATGAGTAAAAGAACCTGAAGTCAAAAATGGAAAATTTCTCCAAGTTTATTTCTAAGAGCTTGAGGAACGGTTGCATACACGGAGGACTTTTGTAAAGATCTACTCTTGCACGGCCAAAAAAGTATAGGTACACGTGTAAGGCAAGATGCAAAAAATGAAGTAGAAGTATTCTGATGAAAGATGAAAGATGAACCCCGACTATGACAAGAAAGTGGAAATTAGCACCTACAAAACATTTGTGTATGATACAATGACCAAACAGTGCCTTGGGACAGGTTTTACAATTTAGAAAAATTCAATCCCACAATTAATATTCCTCAGAAAGAGAACATCTCACTCCACGTACATGTACTTTGTTACACCCCAACTTACAGCATCAGCCCCTACTAGAAATGGGCCCATCCCAACTACATTGTACGGTGCTTTTATTGGGTCGGCCCAACTACAGCACAGAGGCATGTGCCAAAGTCATTTTGTTTGCATCAACAACTTGTGCTTGCAGAAATAAGTTTGTACATACATGTACATGGTATGTCATAGGAAGTGCCATATTTTTGAGGAATTATGTCAGGTGTGAGCTGCATTAACTTGGAGCAGCTTAAGAAATTTCACAGAGAAATTTGCCGACAATTGGGTCAGCCCAACTGCAACACTAGAGTTGAGACAGACGCCATAGTTGGGGTATAATTTCATGTGCATGTACACCAATCACACAGACAAAGATAAGAGGTGCCACCTCTGGAACTTGTTCAATGTTCTTCATGCTTGAGAATATCAAGATGCATTGTGGTATAACACTGAAAAGTGATCAATATTAAAACGTTATCTTGACCTTAAAAACAGGCATGGTCACAACAGGTGATCCTGCACTGCCCCCAACACCTTCATGGCCACCACGGCGGGCGACAGCAGAGCGACTCTCCATCTTCTTAGTCCCCTTTGCTGTAGGAGCCCGAGCGAGAACGGGAACGGGAGCGGGAGCGTGACGGCGACTGCATCCTCTGCCGGGGCGACTTGGAACCTGAGCGGGAGCGGCTGCGGCTGTTGCTCCGTCGGCTGCGCTTGGCTGGGGAGCGGGAGCGGCGGGGCGGGGGGCTATGGGAATGGCTCCGGGAACGGGACGGGGAGCGACGACGGCGGTAAGGTGGGGACCGCCGGGGCGAGCGCCTGGGAGAACGGCGGGGTGAACGGGAACGAGACCTGCACAAACAACAAAAATGCATACAAAATCCATATACAGTTGTGGTTGAAAGTTTACATATACATGTACTCGGACGGCAAGTGTTTCCCTTTCAAGTTTGATGGCTTCACTTATTCCTGGAAACCTTTCTGCTACATGTACGTACAGCTGATTAGTACAACATGTACTTTCAAAGGTAGTCTTTAAAATTGTTATGAAACACTTTGAGTTCCATACACTTTTGAGTTCCATACGCTGTTGGAAAATTAGTACGAACTGGAAACACGTGTAGATTTTGTTTAGAATGCTTTTTTGAAGGGAGATAATAGTTGTCTAAGTCTCGAGTCCTGCATGCCGTGAGGAACTACGGAACTGCATGCCTTGAGGCCTAGTGGTTCAGATCGGCCTATACAGCATGCAACTAGAAAATACAACAGCCACTGTGAATGGTGGTGTTGCGATGCTTGCAGTTTGCAAAGCAGTGCACTCACTTCTACACTGACTACTTGTCCTTGTTAATAACTTCAGGGGCTGTTCGAAGGTCCCTGAAAGACAGTGATTTTCAAAGTGCTAATGTGTGGGGCACATCTTGGGCTACACTGTATGCTGTGCCAAGTTCAATGCATGTACCACATCAAAAAAGCATTAGCTACACATATCAGTAAGGGTAGGGGTTTGTGCTTGCACACGTGCAGCAGATCAATGCGAAAGTGTGCAATAGCGGTATATGTAGCGATGCATTATGGGACACCGCGCTTAGCAATCCGTAAGGGGTGCGGGTCTGTGCTTGCTGGCACGCACGATGTTCATTGCTACATGAAGTTGAACAGTCAACGCTACCCCCTCTGGACAGTCCATGTAGCGCACACGTGGCTTGGCCTGTAACAGCTAGTAACAGCTCGCTGCTTAAGAAATTTTGTGAATACGCGTTTGCGTGAGTGAAGGCAATGTGGCCGTATACCATGTGGGCTGTGCAAGCCCGATCGCTCGTGGTATGGTCTCGCCGACCATCGCCAGCGAGCACTATTGCCGGGCTGAATTTACTGTGAATTATTTAGACAACTCACTGGAAAGGGCACAACAGCACAACAGTGTGCATAGGGCACAGCAAAAGTGGCCGTGGACAAAGCAATTTTCTGAGGGGCATCACGGCAAGGAAAAGGGCATTGACGGCACTGGCCGTCATTAATTTCGAACCCTGCAGACGTAAAAGGGAACTACAGCAATGACTTTGATTTCGTTGGTTCCAGCTATTTTGGAGCATGGCTCAAAACCACATGTTCAAGCTATGACTGGAACCAGCAAAACTGAAGTCTATAGCCAAATCCACGCATTTGGTTTGAATTTACACACGACGGGCCAGTTTCCATACAACCGTGACAATGGCCATGGGTGTGTGTGTGTATGTTCATGTTTGTGCATGCATCGCAAGTGAGAATGCACTTGGTGACATCATAAACAAAATTATACAGTATTATGGTTCCATGACAAGGCCGATCCGAAGTGAAATAAAAAGGTTCAGGTACATGGAGTCAAACGGGCATTAAGTCCTTGCGCCTGTCATGATTTACGGGTGCATTTCTGAGACAAACAGATGCATTTTAGCTACCTGCGCCTGTTAATTTCAAGCCCTGATGTAACTAGGTCGTAATTCACACAAAACCCTGTTTTGTGTCATCTGTTATTACTTAATTAATGCAGCAAAAAACCGCTGCATGAGGGAGAAGCCATCCAGCAACCAAATGGAGGGAGGGGATTATCTTCTTTGCCAATTCATGCAGGTGTCCCACACGAGTTTCCCAGATTACTTGATCTTATATTACCTGCCGCGCCATCTTCCTCTGGAGCGTGATCTAGAACGTGACCTGGAATCCCTGCAAAATTCACCCAAAACAGAGACACAATAATGTAATGTCAGGATGCAATAAAGAAAATAAGGAGAAATTGAAGGAGCATCACCACTTGTTAAACTTTTATGATAACTACTATGTTTTAAGAGAGAAGTGTACGCAATGCAGCAAACCAGTCTAAGTCATTGTGCTGGCAAAAAAACCACAATTATCATTCCTGCGTTTGCCGAATGACCACTCAGTCAGATCACAACCTTTTATTTCACATCTGGTTACCCCAACTGACCATTGTACACACATGTATAATCAAGTTCATCAAGATTCACTGATAACCTTCACTGAAGTGAAAGAGAAAATACCCTCTTTTATTACAGATGACCTTTGACCTTGTAGTTCGCTACAAGGTGGAACGGATGAATGGCCCTGTATTCTATACTGCATTACCTTTCTTTCTTCCTCTAGGATATAGGCCTAGCTGCAAGAAAACCTTTTGTGCATTGACTGTAATTAACAAAAAAAAAGCCTTTGGCTTCGCTTTATTATAATAAACGCAAGGGGTCTATTTCCCTAAAAAAAATAAAGCTTCCTGTCCTGTATTCACAAACAAACTTTCTGGTAGGAAAGAGAACCTCACATCAACTTATCAAGCATTCGTCTAAAGCTACTAGTAAAAGTACATGTAGGGCCTAGACTTTGTTTCCTCATGAACAGGATGCTAAAGGTAAAGAACACCCAGCCCCCTGAACTGAAATCCCTTTCCCCCTTAAACTGTAAAATCCCTCGTCATGCCCGTCGCTAGATTAGTACTAGTACTAACTTACCTTCCACGCCGACCATAACCACCATACCGACCGCCCCCACCGCGGTCATATCGACTCCTCGGCCGTCGATTGTAGTCTGAGGAAGGCCGACCATACCTGGCCATTTGAACCCTCAAATCTCTTCCATCCATGGCGGCTCCATCCATGTAGTCCATCGCATCTTCTGCGTCGTGCTTGTCGAAAAACCGGACGAAGGCAAAACCTCTGCTTTCTTTGGAGTAGCGGTCACGCGGGATGTACACATCTCCAACGTCGCCGTATTTCGAGAAGACTTTGTACAGATCCTCCGGCTTTGTGCGGTACGTCAGATTGTCCACTTTCAGGGACGTCATTCCCTCAATGTCTGGAGGCCCTCCACCGTGTGACATCTTTGGGAAGTATTTAAGGGTCTCAAAAATTTCACAATTGTCACAAACGGGGACTTTTTGACTTTTAACAAGGAAATCGAAAGATTTCTAATCGCTAAGTGTGCAACAGTACTCACGCCGGCATGTTGAATGTGAATATGGCGTGCCTCACGTCACGCGCGCACGCGTCGTTCGCTTACAATTGCTAGACTGAGTCCACACCGTAATTTTTTTCTTTCGCATTATCTGCATGTTGAAGTCTAGGAACCAGACTAACTACATTTCATGGTAAACTCATATTTTAACTGTGATTTTCATTATTAGAATACCAGCGAGCAAGACCTGGGGTGCATCCACCAAATGGTTGGATTTTTGCGCACGAGCTCATTAATATTTTATGATCCCAGAGTTTTTACAGTAGGACATACCATAATCAGGAGGGTTCATAGAAATATTTCTATAAATGCCGAATTCGGGACTGGTAGTTTCCAGCTCGGGGTATTTCTTTCCCAAAAAGTCCCAAATTGCGGGCCTATTTTGGATAGAGGCGGGCGGCTACATTCAGAGCTTAACGCATAGTTTTACTATTATTTTGGGGTATCGTCGGGAAAGAAGAATAAAAAAAATCCCCTGTACCTGGCTAACCCCCATAAAAACTGAAAAAAAATTATCATCCGCCCATAACCTTGAATTTTCAGTGAAAAACGGAGGCCATCCTCTTCCCTTCGAGTCAACAGGCGGTGCTATTTCGGTCTACTGTTTTCTATGGGCGCGTACTTGGTGTAGTGCCACCTTAAAAACTCAACGCGTGCGCTAGCCTTTGATCAAGGCGACGGTGCAGGTGACGCCTGATTTCCTTCCACGCCGCCCCGCTCAACATTATACGAAGAGACCGCTCATGCCAAAGTACACATTTACAAAAAGCACAGTAAATTTTTTCCAAGTTTGGTTATGACCTATATTTTTCCAAATTCGTTATTACTAGATATTTTCAAGTTTAATACTATTTTTGGAAAAATCGTTTTAATGAGACACATTTTCTAAGTTCATTTATAACCACAGAGATACAATGAACAGGTACTCCAAGAAGAACTCGTTCATATACATTTCCCGCGGTTCGCGGTAAAGCGGGAGATTGTTGTCTTGTAAACTCGAATTACACCTAGAATGAAGGTTCTGATTGGTCAATGAGCAGGTGTGTTATGTAATCAGGAATGTCAGGATGGGAGTTCTTTTAAAGGGGGTCCTCCTCGAGGCGCGGCGCGTCTGACGGCATGCGGGAGAGTCCCTGAGCGGCTAAGGACGAGTTTGTTGGGACCGAAGTATATCGTCCCCCAAGAAAGTTGGTCTTCGTCAAGATGATGGCTAATCTGATTGGTCGAAACTAAATGAAGTAACCCAGACAGACCTGACTTGAAATAAACTTCACCTGGACACCTGACTTATACAACAATTAATAAGCGGCTGGTTTATTCATCAACACACTCAACCAATATATCAGCAGATAGCGCTATTGACGGGGAGACTGTGTGATTATACGTGACTGGACTTCGCCCAGAGCAGTGAACACCACAATTAATTGTGGACATCCAGTGCCGACTCGGGGACTTTAGCAAGTCTACGGGGCTTATAGGGCTGCGCTATACGCATCTTATGTCACGAGATAGCAATCTGCCCTTACATCGACCGCAAGCTCCTATGAGGAACTATACCGAACCACCAATTAGCCCCTCAACCTACCGAGCCGGCCCCTCAACGACACATGCACCACTCGGGGCTTAGGCACAGTAACACTAGGCTAGGTGACTTTAACCCTTGCACAGGATTTTCGACCCTTACCCCAGGATCAGCCCTTGATCAGGACCAAAGCGAAGCAGCGCAAGATGGCGAACTTCACCGTAAATACACGTAAAACGTTGAAATCACACAGGTGCCATTTGAGCAAGTGATACGCCTGCGCAATGCACATTGGGTGCGTTCGATTAACTTCCCTGAATACAGCAGTGTTACACGCAAGGGAAGCCTCGAAATGAGGGTAATCGAACGCCGCAGGGTGTTTTCAAAGGCATTCTGGGAAAAAGGTCAAGTCCCCGCCACGTTCCATCATGTACGTCCATGCTCGAACAGTCCATTACACTCGGGCTGCCCCCAGAGACCCGCTCGCCAGCTGGGGTAGTGGTGGCTGACACCAGGGCAGGCACGAACATCACGTGATGGCTAAAACGAACGCTCTCGAAGTTTGACTTACACGTGTAAGCTAATCGAACGCACCATTAATGCACAGGCGCAGGGCTAGCGGCAGGCACATGCACGTGGTGAGCCTGCGCCCAAGATTATCGTAAACTGCGCAGGCGTATCACTCGCTCCAATGGCGCCCATGGTAATTACGTCTTTTGGGCAGAGTTATCCATGATCAGGACGACTTAACCTTGCCTGCGCGCGCCTTTTATAGCCTTTGCGCTGCTGTGACCACGCGCGCCCGCGTACGCGCTCACGTGACCAAGCAGTGACTTTCGCTTCCCTAGCGTATAGCACTACGCACAAGGCGGAGCCTATGCGCTGCGCTCGCTTAACACACAGCTATGCGCACCTAATACATCTGCCTCTGTCACTGGGCAGAGCGCCATCTATAACTTCGTACCGCGCCTAGTGACTAGCGCCCTCTGTCATGTCACAGTATTCTCTATTGTGTTTAAAATTAAGGACAACGTAAGAGAGTTACAGTACATTTTGCATCCAGACTGGGGTATGCAGACAAAAGTACAAATGAAAATTTCCTAATGTAATCTACTAAGAGAATATTTCCGTGACATGGCTGACTGACGACTTATTTTATATTGAGCCACTGATGTAAATTTTCCATAATAGAATTTGAAATCTTATACACAGAAAAAGTTTATAGTACATGTACGTGCCATAAATGGTAATCATGCCGATAGCCAAAAAAAAAAAGCCAGGAACGAGCGTCAATTCTCGTGCTGCGCTAACGCCAAATTAAGAGAGATGAGTTTAGTGTTTACAGTGTATGTACAAAGAAGACAGTTGTTTTCACATGTGTTACGATACAAACAAGATTTAAATACTCATTTCCATGAAAAGTAACAAGGAAATGTTGGTTTGTTCTTTCTTTAGAAAAACCTCTCAGCAATATTTTCTGGAGGGACCGGAGCTAACGCTTTTTCAGTGTCACGCAAGGCATTGTCAAAAGGGCAGAAGAAAAATTCGTCCTTCAGAAATTCCCCCAACAAAATGTTAAATAGTGGCCATTGCTATTTTCCAAGGAGAGATAAGTAAAAGCGAAACTTACTCCAAGAAAAGGCAACCAAAAAAAGGACAATTTGCTTTGTACACATGATGCAGATCTGTGGAGCCACTACTATGCCTTGGATGGCATCACACTTTAGCTCATGAATATGTAAAAGTTTAGTTAGCATAAGACCAAATGGTAGACTTTCTTGCTATTACCGCCACATGGAGATGGAAATTGCAGTAACATTGCAAACAAGTTGAATTCCTACACGCATTCCAGTCATACGAATCCAATTCCATGTCTCCTTTAATTCAAGTGGCAATCGTAAACCAGCTCTTAAATAATCCCTACACAATTATAAGTACATCAGGTAATTCCTTTTTATGTTGACTATCCACGGCCACCACATCCCTCCTCGCCTCTTCCTGATTTAATCCCCAGAACGTGTACGAAATTATAACGACCAAACAGCGCCTGGTCTTTGTTGCAAGTCCCTCGCATCGCTGTTAGCCGGATTAATGCAGATCACAGAGGGCTCTGTTTAATTGGATTCGTTCGTGACTTTGAACGAAGTCATCTTCCTGTGTGACAGGCGTGGGCGTAAATCCTGGGGGATGGGGGCACGGACGTAGGTAAAAAAAAACTTGGACTTGCAACGTCTTTGTATGAATTAGAAGCCAACCAGCGGCCATCTTACCGAGCCGAATACAAATGCGCCGGTTGGCAAGCGTCTACTGACGCCACGGAGAACAAAGGCGGGCATTGCCGGGCAAGCTTTGTATTCGGCTTGGTAAAATGGCCGCTTGTGGATTCAGTGATCTTTATAATCTGATTAAGGGCATTACAAGTCCAGATTTTTTTTAAATTGATATACGTCCAGGGATGGGGTTACATCCCCCCCCCACCAAACACCTTTTTAAACCTGGGATGGCTGTTGAATCCTCCACCACCTTTTCATGGCAACACTCAAAAGAAGGAAAGTGAATAAAAATAAAGCCATAAATATGCCGATTTGGTGTACGTTTCTGCAGGGAGTAATACAGAATGTATTTCTGTATCATGAACATCACCCCCAGCGTCATGTAGTGTCACAGCTAACCCCCCCCACCAGTTTTACAAATGTCCACGGTCGGTCAAGAATACTCCACAAAAAGCCTTTTGCGAGTTAAATTTGAATAACATCTGGTACACCGAGTTCTTAAAAATCACGTGAACATAATAATTGGAATTCTCAAAAGCTACTGTTGCTATAACTCATGATTCGGGGCAAGCTTTTCCTCTCATAAGAGACGCCTTGCAACAATACACTGTTCTCAATGGAAAAGAAGGGCACAAGAAACCAGTCCATTCCAGAGATGGTGGTTGTTAAGCAAAAATTGACCCGAATCACGAGGTATAGCACTGAACAGTGTCTGTAGTCTGGGGGATTCAAATTGTTATGTTTATGTCTAATCAGATGACTCAGTGTACCAGATTTTATTCAAATTTAAATCGCAAATGGCTTATTCTCCACCCCCTATTCCCATTTCCCGGCACAAACTTACGCCACTGGTGACAGGGGTTGCAAACAGGTAAATAAGCTGCTGTCGACAACATTGATAAATACCCCCACTTCAAAACATCAGGAACAATACTCACAAGTCTGTCATGTGTTCAAGACACATATCAAATTAATGCTCATTGCCTCATCTTTCATTTTTCCTTTCAGTTTTTAGTGGATGGACCAATAACTTGAGATGACCACCTCTCAAAACAGACATGAAGCCCATCGCCATTTTGAAAATTGATATTAATACTCAATCGCCAAATAAGGCCCCGGTTGTCCTGTACTTTCAGAGATACAACTGTGTAGGAATTCATTCTGATAGCTTCCTTCTTTCTTTTTTAACAAACCATCCAAAATCAAAATCAACCCCAACATAACAAGAATTGCAAGATAAAGAGGGTCAAAAAAACATTGGATCTCGGCAAACAGGACTATTTCCTTTTTCGACATTTCCCTTAAAGTTCAGATATAGTGCAGTAAATAATGACTTCCAGGAAGAAGTCGCACAATATCATTTCAATAAAGGCAGAAAGGTAACAACACGTGACAATTCCCTGCTCCTGCGAGATATCGAGGCCAGCACCCACTGTATCAGGGCTGTATGTTTCGAGTTCATTTTTTTTTACCGTCTGGAAGGACGAAATATCATCCGAAAACACTAATTCAAGGAAAACACAACGCCCATGAACACCAAGAGCGAGCTCAGCCCTGTATCACTTTGAAAAAAGTGATTTGTGTTTTGGGGTGGGGGTGTTACTGGCTAACTTTAGCTGCGTTCCTTGTTATGTCAGGGTTCACAGGTTTAAATACTGGGTTAATGGTATATGAATGGTTCAATTTTTATTTGATAAAACTAATTCACCGCTTGACAGATGCGTATGTGCGTGTAGTGCGTGTATATAATGCGTGCTTCTTCCGTTCAACCCCGTTCTTCCGTTCACGCTGTGACACAGTTCAGTGTCATTGTACAAAGGACTTTGGTGGAATTTTACAATCTTTCATCTCGATTATTTTAACGATCTAATTTTTAGAAAATTAGGGATTGTGCTCTAAAATGACGAATTTTGCTGAATGATAAAATCTCTGACAGACGGCATTCACTGAAAGGAGCATTTTCCTAAATTTCTATTGTTTAATACTAATTATTCATTAATCTTTCCAGAGAATACTCTTTCCAGGTTCTCCTAAGAACCACAATTACTCAAACGAGATCTATTCCTTCGCGTGGTGCTACCACAAGCCTTTCCACCTACATAGCCTGGAATTCCATCCGACATGGTCCTATAGTTGACGAAGTTATGCTGCTATCCGAGGGTAAACATGACTAGTTCAGTAGGATGTTGGGTAGAGGTCGTGTGTTCCGGTAAAAGCATAAGGAAGTATCAAATTCTTTCTGTTTCATTTTTGTAGGGGAAAAGTTGTATCTTTTACTGGTGAGGGAATCAAAATTTTCCCAAATCTGTCCAGTAAAATCAAGTATAAATACGAGTTTTGTAAGAAACAATCAAGAAAAATAATGCTGGTGAGCAAAAGACAAAATACTACAGACATCATGCCGCGCCACCCCTTCCAAAGGTCCGAACGACATGCTAATAAGCAAGCATAATTGGCTCAGTAACCACAGCCAGTCTTGCTTTGAACAGTAACCATGTCATAAGATAAACGTGTGCTCTGAAAATTGCTCCGTCGTGTTGAGCCTTTTCTGGTGTGAGTTTGAAAAGCTTGAATAGACCTTTTCACTAATAAATTCATAATTATGCACGCATCCGCACAAATGGCCTTGGCTGCAAGAGGTGTGAGCGGGCCTCTGAGAAGGTACAAGGCCTTGACTTTGACGATAATTTTCTCTCAATTTTTCAGGCTTTTTTCAGTTTTTTCTTCAGAAATCCCATTAAATCGTTTTTGCTAACAGTTTGTAATCGAAGCAGGATTTTTAGTGCTCTGTGAAAAGACTTAATATACATAATTTTTCCTGTGCGCGCGAGATCGCCGTTTCTTGGTATGGCCCCTTCCATCATAAGTGGTATAAATGACATCGTTAGTGTTATTGGAGCCAACCCGTGTATTTGTAAACACGGTGCTGATGTTCAATGTATACGCTGCACCCATTCGATTCGCTGCTTTCTGCACTTGGGAAATCTGGAGATCCAAATCCCTTTCTCTTGGGAATCTGCTCTTTGTCTTGTCGCACAACCCCAAACACAACAACAGGGTACAATATTCGGTATCACTCCAAGCTATGACCAAGTTCAATGGTAAGCTACGTACGTACAGTACATTTACATTCGGAACGTCAGTCGTGCACAATGCACAGGTTGGTTCCAAGACTCCAAGAACACTAACGATGTAATTTATACAACTTATGATGGAAGGGGCCATACTAAGAGATGGCAATCTTGTACGCACAAGAATAATTACGATAAAGTCTTTTTTTACAGAGCACTAAAAATCCTGCTCAGATTAGAAACAATATCAAAACGATTTAATGGGATTTTCTGGAGAATAAGAATGAACAAAGCCAGAAAACCTGAGAGAAAACGATCATTAATGTTCAATGGCCCGCTCACACTTCTTGCCGCCAAGGCCATTTGTGTCCATTGGTGCATGATTAGTAAAAAGGTCTATACACGTGGCGTATTCAGTGTTTGCAAAATGTTGACGTGTATTCTTCATCTTTCCGACATAGTAAAACTGTTCTTTAAAAAGGTGTGCTTTTCCAATTCTGATTCTTTATCCGATTTGGAGGGCCATTCTCGGCAACGAAGCCCAATTTTACCCCAAAAGCTACGTATCACGTGTGTCTATTGTAAATTAAGCCCAATGTGCAAAATCTCACACGTCATGGCGACATTTCGAGGAGGAAATGTTCCCCAGGTGGTGTGATGGCCACAAAGCTGGTGTGAAGGACCTTATTGTTCCTTCCTGACCGCCACCAGCTGCCCTGCGGCCTTCATAGGCAGTATCAGATCACCCTGTCCCGGCCAATCACAAAATAACTGCGATTTCGTTGTATCTGTGAGCAGGAAGTAGCTCGCAACTTTAAAAGCAGGGGTCAGTCTGCCGTGCCCGTACTCGCACAGCTCCCGACGGTAGATCGAGTCGAATTTTCCTGTTCCCAAGGTGAGTGTCATTTTAATTATCAAATGAACAACATGTGCATTTAAAGATCACCAAGATACTGACTGGAGCGAGACTGAACCGTATAGGCGCCCTACTACCCGCATGGCAGTTTTTAATTGTTCATATCGACAGGCTTAACAAAATTATAACAATCAATGACATCCGTACGAGAACTTTTATAGACGAGCATTAAGTTAAACTGGCGTGTAGGCCTAAGACTTCCCGTGGTATAAACCATGCAATCCTACTGCAATCGTCCTAAAAAGGGAAAGGCTGGAAAATGAAATTGCACAAATCAATAATGCATCCGGGGAGGGGGGCATTGGGCAAAACACATTTTTTTTCCAAATAATGAGAGAGGAGCGACTTGGGGGAAGATTTCCCCTAATTTCCTCCCACATCGATCCGCACTACAATACTACAATCAAATATAACCCTCTTTTTTGAAATTGGCTATTTCTTTATATGACTTTTGCAGGAGCCTTGGTTTAATCATGTAGTTACAAAAGAACATCAGGTCACTATCGTTTGGCATGGCTGCAATTTATTTAGAATAAAGCCACATTATTTCAGCTATGCTTAGTGCCAAAGATGACTCAACACCCTTTTGATCGATACATTTTCTCTTGCATTACAGCCTTGGCCTAAAACCCGGCAAAATGACGTCACAGGTTAGTATTTTATCTCACTGTGACCAGGGCAACATCCATCAGCGTATCTGTATTTAGCGAACTTAAATGCCAAATGCCAAAAATATAACTTGAGGCGCTGCGCAGCAAATCTTTTTGATAATTGCAATGCATGAGAGGATTAGATTACGAATAAGCCATAGATTTTAAGCATGGAATTAAGTGTGAATTAATCAAAAACACTCCTAGAAACATAGGAAAATCTCGTTAAAAGGGGAAAAATTATGAACATGTGAGAAAGCACCATTTTGACCACGTTGTTTTAAGAGTCAAATTAATCGGTGATAGATGTCCTGGCTCATTTTTGTCGTTCCTCTTTGAGCTCTTCGCTGATTAATATTACGGATCGGCGCAGAAACGGCCGGGTGCTCTCGATTCATCAGGCTTTAAAAGCCGACGTTTTGTGCTTCTTTTGTTAGATTACCATATACCAAGATACTGACTTCAAGGGAGCTTCAAGAGAAGTTACTGGAGACATCAGCAACCTGAACTCCATTGGTTTCAATGACAGAGTGTCGTCTATCAAAGTCGTCGGCAGTGTGTAGGTATCAAAAATAACAAATACTAAAACATAATTAACTCAGAGAAAAATTATCACGTTTTTGTTTGTTCCCACTCAGTTATAAAGAAATACTTGAACACTGAAGCTCTGAAGCCAAACTATGCTTGTGTATGAAACATCGCATTTGGCGTTGGCATCAACGGAGAAAAGGAGGATACAGTCCAGGAATTACAGAAATTCAAGGACAGGAAATGGCTGTGATCCCAGGGGTACACCAGTTGTAAATTGACAAAACTTTCTTGTATCGGTATTTTTTAATAGTGTATATTCCCCAGTTGGAAAGTTTCCACAAGAACATCGAGACACAATGAAATGTCGGTAATACCTGTGACTGCGGCCTTCAAGGAACTGAACATTTTCGGCCATCAATGAACTGAACATTTTCGGCCATCAATGAAATGAACATTTTTAGACATCCAATGCAAACAAACATCAGTTATTTATACCATTAATAATAAACCTACCTCATCAACCAAGAACGTACAAAAAATCTATTTGACTTTAGCCGGGAATACTCCATGACTGTATGCGTGCGATTAAAATAAGTGTTATACAAACAACCTTTTCGAAGAAACGCTCACTAAAAATTCTATTCACTATTTATAAATTATATCTCTCGAGAAAAGGATTTTAAGCTTCTTAAGCACACTAAACCTCAAATAATAAATTTGATATCATGAAACATAAAATCTATAAACTAGCCTGCATGGCACATCCAGCGCAAAATCTCACATGGAAGATACATGAAAGAAAATAACACCCAGGAACTGGTCACAGAAGCACCAACTGAAGTCTAGCTAGTCTTGTTCATACACACGTATGTTATAAGCACATGCTCAAGACAGTCTGGCAATGATGATGTGAGTTAAAGAAAAATCGATGTTCAATCTGGTCGAGGTCCGAGATGTCCTGGTCTGAAATGTGCGGATGCGACTTGATCTCGGTATCTATGGAAAAGCTCGCCCTCACCAATATTTTTATTCAACCCGCAGGTGGGTAGGATATGAGCATACCAACTATAGCGGTCGGCAGTATATCTTGGAAGAAGGCGAATATCGTAATTGGGGTGCCTGGAAAGGTTCTAATGATCAACTCTCCTCGCTGAAGAAGTTAAACCCGGTGAGTATGACCCCAGTCGGCTTCAGGGACTTTTTTTGATATAAAGTATTTTTTTATTCTTGTGAGATTTAAAAAATTGCACGATAGAAGAAGCAATCCGGATGAGATGATGTAAGTATCTTTTTGCGACAACACATAAGCTTGGCATCTTCATTGCGATCCCCAAAAGCGTTTTGTTATCACCCATACCCACCCACAATCAGCATAACGGGAAGTTGCCTTCCCAAGGGTTAGCCTACAACTGGAAGCGACTATGGAAATAGAGTTGACTCCTGGTGGCGCGCTTCCGGAACCCTTGCATATAGAACAAGATACGGGCAACAATTTTAGAATTTGCAATTTCTTTCGTTCGTTTTGTAGAAAAATTACCTCGAAAAAAGGCCTGTGTCAAATATTTGCCGGCAAAGTTATTTATAGAAACTGGGAAAGTTGTTAACCTGAAAAAGAAATATCCTGCAAAATTGAACCTCTCACTTCCGAAAATCTAACATTGGCCTATATGAAGACCAATGCAATTTGGTGTTCATATACGCAGATGAACAATTACCAAATTATTTAAAGTAGTCTTTCGGTAAAAGCTAAAATAAAAAAAGATCAAAATATTTTAAATTAAGCAATTTATAATGTTAAAGGGGTAATCTGAATTTACGAAAGGTTCCACAGTTTAAGCGTTGCTTACGAGAACGGCGTCAGGTCGGCACGACTGAATCTAAAACCCATTGACTGTAGGTAGGTAAATATTTGCAACGTTGTGCAATCTCGTTTTCACTTACGCTCATGAACTGAAAACAAACGGACATGCACAAGGAGACCTAGGAACAATATTGCCGGAAGTAAAAATTCGTTGATGGAGTTTGTTTTTACCCCGTCTCCGTGTGGCATTTCCCAAAATATTACTTGAGGAACACAAAGGTGAAGTTCCGACATCAGCGGTTCTTAGGGTGGTTTCAGTTTAATAGGAATCATCATGGGACGGCCCCATGTAAACCCCCATAGGTAGAAGACGCGAGGGTTCCTGGAGCTCATTGGGTGACCTTTTATTTTCAGGTTCTGTATAGAAACACCTGTTGATGAGGTTGATTTAAAATGAATTGTGTTTAAATCTGTTAAAACCTGGGCTTGTGTTGACATGGCTCGCGACTGTGGTAATTGGTAAGGAAGGTCTCAGTATCGAATCCATGTGTCCTTCAAAACATGCAAAACAGAAGCTGAACATTAATCATGCCGAACAGCCAGTATGCATCGTTTACAGCTTACAAAGAAAAACCAACTAAACAAAATACCCCTTGAAGCCAAATGTGATCAGACAAAGACAAGAATAACAAAAACAAACAAAACACGTCATCGTTTTGGTACATCGGTGAATGCAAATATCGATGATATCCACCACACAACTCTCCCTCATTTGAATCGTAGGACATCGGTGACGAGCCACAGATAACGCTGTACCAACATACTAATTACGGTGGGAGAGCTGTGACCTTCACCTATGGGATAGAGAACTTGAAATACTACAGCTTCAACGACGAAGTGTCGTCCGCAAAAGTCAAGAGTGGCATGTGAGTGAAAATTAATCTTCGTTTACCTTTATAGGGATATTCTACAATGCTCCAAAGAGCTCCGTTCATTTCATTAAAGGGCCTCTGATCACGTGTTAGAGGGTTATTTTCACGACACGACCTCACGGCTAAGATAAACGTTCCACTGCACAGTCGATTAGTGGCATTGTGGGAAGGCTCTTGACACAGACAAGGTTGTGGGAACTAGATATGATTTGTTCGGGAGAAGCCACGTGAAACAAACTTTGAATGTTTGATTTTTATGCAGCAGGAAGAATAATTTACAGGAAACGGACGGAGTGTCCACTTCAAGGTGAAGCGTCCCTTTCAGTTCATTCGTCTAAGCATTAGCTCCTTCAGGGAAACAGACTTGTGCTAATTACTCATTCTGAGTGAATTGTGGTTAGATTGTGCAGTTTGGGCAGCAGTCTTGATGTTACTTCCTTTAATTAAAAAACGCAGCTGGATCTTGTTTGAGCATTCAAACTACAACGGTAGACAGTACGTTGTCACCGAAGGGTCATACCCTAACTGGAACAGCTGGCAAGGGTCCAACGATCAGATCTCATCGCTCCGACCGATCAAAGAAGTAAGTTCATTATTTAGGCCTACACACTTGAAATGATTTCAGTTTTTAGCTGGGGTAAAAGCAGTCCTTTGTCACTACACACAAGAGAGCTTCCTTTGAATTCTGGGAACACATTCGAACAAGTTACTTTCTCGGCTTATTTCCAAGGCATGACCGGTGTGCAGAGGATTAATCTTTTCATGGTTTCTACTGTGTACAGCCGTTCTTACCCACTGAGGTGCTGAGCATGGAGTTTGACATCGCTGCTGGACTCCTCAACTCTACCCCTGAAGCCCTGGTCAACCTGTCCCAGCGTAATGACTCCAGCGTAGACCAGGCCGCCTCCTGGGGCACCTCACGCACCGTCACGACCACTAAAACCTACGAGTGGAGCTGGAACAACTCCACCACCATCAGCGTAGAGACAACGTTCAAGACCGGTGTGCCCGTCATTTCCGAGGGGGAGATTACCATTGGAGTGGAGAACACATTCTCCATCGGCGAGAATCGAGGCGAGCAGAACACACAGTCGGAGGAGTGGAACTTTAGCCTTCCAGCCACCGTCAAGGCCAAGACCATGCTGCGTGTGCAGGTCCTCATCCAGCAAGGTAAGATTGATGTGCCCTTCTCGGCCATCTTGCAGAAGGGCAACAGACGCTGGAAGGAGGTGGGAACTTACCATGGCACGCAGAGCTACAATTTGCAGGTAAATTACACAGAAACACCCCTGTAAAGCGTTCACGCTCAAGCCGAATGACGCAGTACAAAATATATAGAAACACAGAAAATCCAAGTAAGCAAATGGAAAATTTAGCTAACCGATTATCGTAAACGCTGGTATCTCAATCGAAAGAGCAATCTAGTCGTAGTGAAATAAGTACAAGTTTCTATACAATCTTTACATTATCTACGTTTATACTTTTTGAAAATATGTTTTATTTTACTTCACAATAGAATAGATTTCTGCTTTTAGCGGCAGTAATTTGTGGCAGGTAACATTTAACGGAGTGACAAACGTTTGGAAATTAGCTAGTTTTTCAACCAGTTCTTGAAGCTATTAGCATAAAGTAAATGAGTTATGAACAGAGCTTGTACTTGTGTGTTTTTTTCTTTCGGTACACTGATGGAACTCGAATTATTTGAAAAAGATATATGATTTATCGTAAACGTTTTCCTGGCAACAAACATTTGTCCTGTTACATTCCGCAGCTGTTTCTTCTTTGCATTTTGATTACTGATACGGTGCTCCCGACAAAAATTAAAACTATATCAAATGATTTCGAACTCTTTATTTAGGTGGTCATTAAAGTTGTGAATAAAGTGTGATATTTTCCCATATGTCGGTGACAAGTGACGTTATTTGCATTAGAATTTGCACTTCTAAACTAAACCACATAGGTTGAGTTAATAATGCATTTGTCCGATTTCCGAGTTGTTGTAGTGAACATCATTGGAACAATTATTAAAAACAAGACAGAATTTTTTTATATTGGAGCTATGGAGTGTGATTTTTAAAAATTGTTGTCTTTGAAGGTTTGAGGTCGACACGTGAGTCAAAACCCATTCATTATTGATTTCTTTAAATAAAATGCAACATAACTTCTTGATATGTCTAAATGTCTGGAATAGAGCACATTCTTCCCGCAGAAAAAGCGTAAGATTATTTTCAGCTGTCTGCTATAAGGAGGGAACTGGTTGCAGTGATATCCCTCTCCCCTGAACAGTTTTCAAGAAAACTGGAGCAGATAATCAGTTATTTTTCTAACACTGGGAGCGCTTCTTACTCTTTGTTACAGAGCCGTATATAGCTCTGTTTTTTGAATGTTTCTACAGGTACCATTCACATTTGTTCATCCTCATCGCGTTTATATGTTGCACTAGCAAGAACAAATGAATTTCACAAAATTTTGTAAGGTAGATCGTTGTACGCATTCAGTGCTCACGCGTCGTGCGCAAGCAGATGTGTTGACTCGTGTTATTGGCCAACTGAACACCATCCAATCACAAGTGTTACAGCTCTATGATCATTGAGTACTCACAACCATTGAGAGCGTTCGCTTAGCCATCACGTGATCTTCGTGCCTACCCTGGTGTCAGCCACCACTACCCCCGTACCGTGGGGCCCCGCTGGCGAGCGGGTCTTTGGAAGCTGCTTGAGTGTAATGACGTCACGGATAGACTGTTCGGGCATGGACATGATGGAACGTGGCGGGGACTTGACCTTTTTCCCAGAATGGGACTTATTATGGACGAATCCAAGCTCGTAATTACGCCATGCTCAAGATTGTAATCATAGGTGCCACCAAATTTTCCTTGAGGGAAACTAAGTTTTTTGGCGGGGGAATCACTTTTTCCAAGGGACAATTTCCAGGGGCCAAGCACTCATCAGTAACAAATTATAAATCACTTACAACGGAAGATAGTCAATTTCGATTTTTGTTTACTATTTTGTTTTGTTTTGCTTTTCCTTTTTACCTCTTTCTTATGTCTTTCGCTATTTTCTCTTTCTCACTTTATTTTCCTTATTAATTGTTTCCTGTTTTATTCGACGTCCACGATTGTAATCGCAAAAACTATTGTAACAGGTCATGTTAAGAAGCATTGTGGAGGATCGATTCGTTCGTACTACACTTTATTGTGCCACAAGAGCTAATTAATAAATAGTGGTTATGTAATGGAGCGATACTATATAGATTATCAAAAAAATTAGGGAATATATTGTTAGACACGTAAACAAGAAATAAGATGGCATGTAAAAACTTTGTGTCACCCGATATGGAACTTTAATGGTGAAATGACAAGAAATTGTCAAAGTTCATGAAAAGCGCAGATATTCATTAAACCTATAACATTTCATAGATGCTTTTTGACGAGGATGGTTTTGGTCATTACACTCGCACCGCCCCTGCGCTCTTAAAATACGGCAGAAAACACATATCTTTAATACTGGCTATCCAAAATGGGTAATTAAGGATGCACGGGTGAATTCTCCCACTCCGTGGTGAATCGCCTATGAGCCCCGAGCTGGACCAAGAGAGGGCTCAATTTTCCCAGCAGCGCAGGCTTCTTTGGTAGAAACTGCACTTCGGTTGATCATAAACGACTATGAAATGCACGCGTTACGGTCGAATCACTACCAGCAAATGAGCACTCCTTACCAACATGGCTCTGTTCAACCGATGAGGGGGTGCTTCTGCTCGAGGCAGACATATTGCAAGGCATCTATTCAATACTTTGTTATTTCAGAAAGTTACAAGTTAACATAAATTGCGTCATCAGCAACGGCAAGACTGGATTAGCCCTAAATCAATGAATGTGCACCCTGAAAAAATAAAATAAATAAAGCAGACCCTCTCTGCGCACGTGCGTAAGCAATCTCGTTAACACAGCATCATTACGATAATGGGGGGGGGGTGCGGTCGCTGTCAAATTTACCACGTTCGTCGCCTTAGTTGGTTTAATTAAGTTATATAGTTCAATCAGTACAGTCCGGAATATAACCGAGTCTCTAGCAAGGAAGCTTGTCCTTAATGTGATTTCAATGTCTTAAGGTTGAAAATTCGCGAGAACAGGGAAAAATTAATCTCGTCCTTTAGAGTATGGAGCTATTAAACACAAGGACTCAGCACATACAGAGATCAAAAGGGTCAATGATGGCCACCGTCAGCACTGCACGTGCTGCAAGGAGTAAACAAATTACGCGCCGCTTGTAGGCTACAAGGAATGCTTGGAGTTGCATTTGCAAAGGATCGTGGGTACCGCGCATGCGTGTCCGTAACACTTCCGCATGTTCAACGTGGCCGCCTTGAGACGGGAACCATCGTCATTGGAGCCTTAAATTTCGGTAATTTTAGTGATTTTTCTGACATTCTGATGACAATGAAAGTCTGGTTGCGTCTTTACATCCCCGAAACGTCTCTCTTAACAATAAACAGAATTACTAATTAATACAAATTCTCCAAAAAATACGCACAAGAAAACTGAGAGAATGTAGGTGGTCCAGAGGAAAATAAAAAACACAAAAAAATGGGAAGATTAGTTGTCCTTTCTGTCATTCGCCGCAACTGTCTCGGCATGAAACCTCACCACGTTGTCAAATGCATCCCTGCAACATGTTTCCACCTTCTTTTAACCGTAAGAACCACCAGGATTGCGACTTATGATATAAATATCGCAGTTCATATTTTGGGTATTTGTTCTCTACCGCCAGAAACGCAAAATGTCATAACTGACTTTAAAAAGTCCGACTTTAAAAAAGTCCGACCTTAGCCAAATAACCACCGCTGATTTGGAATTTTCGAGCGCATCTGAGTAGATCACTCGCTGACTCCTGAGGACTACTGAAGAGAACTGCGCATGTTCTTCGTGCATCTTTTCCACCATTTATTTACTCCAGTATGCCGCAGTGAAACGTGGCGAGTCTGTGGGTTATCAGCTATCTGGCGGTGGCGATCACTGTGTACAAAGAATGTCTGGGATCTTCAACATTGGAGCTGGTAACCGCGCTTTGTCTATGGAGCCGACAGGAGCAGTTAATTGAATTACGGTCTGTAGGGACTTGGATGTGCTTCTTGCTCACGTTATCCAATGCATCTACATTAAATTACTTCATCTTAAAAACTAATTACACCTCCTTGTATATGGTAATTTACTGTTACGCAAGAAATCTATTCAATTACTTTGTTACTTCAAAAATTGAAAACCAACAAAATAAAGCAGACCTTCTCTGCGCACGTGCGTAAGCAATCTCGTTAATACAACTTCGTTACGACAATGGGGGGGGTGCGGTCGCTGTGAAATCTCCAAGTTCATCGACTTAATTGGTTAAACTCAGTTACATAGCGCAATCAGTAGAGTCCGGAATACAACCGAGTCTCCAGCAAGGAAATGTATCCTTAATGTGATTTGAATGGCTTTAAGGTTGAAAATTCACACTTCATCAGAACCTCTATGTGGGAAAAAGAGGGGCAGTCAGGTTGGAGTTGTGGCTCTTTCCTCGCCTTTCCCTCTGCAGCCCAGGATCGATTCCCATACAGTTCGGTCCACCTGTGGTTTTCCATCAATGACTGAATTCTGTTTGGTTGTATACCCAGGATATTCTCATTGTCTCTTCTCTACAGACTTCATCAGGCCTCTGAGCTACAGTGTCAGGGGTGTGTTTGAAGATTCCTGGCTTTTACTAATAGATATACTTAATGATAATCAAAAATGGGCTTGAATTTTGAGCCAGACATGCTCTGTAAGATAGGCCTATACTTCGCGGCTTTGAGTGCTTTGAGTACTGAGTAACGCCGCACTCGATGTTCACTTTTTATACAAGCTAGTCTTACGGCAGACGGCTTTTGCTGTCTTGAACACATGAAACATGGGCATCGGTAGGATTTTTTTCCCGGGGAAGGGGCAAACCACTTTTTAAAACCAACTAAATGGTTGTTGAGGCTATGACCACGAACATACGTGAGCTCATACTACGAACTTAGAAACCTATTTTGGTCAGTTTCGCACAAAAGACATGAGCGGCGGATGGTAATCACTTTTTGAGAGAGTATGTCTCTCCTCCGTACTTTTTCCAGATCCCCAAATGGCGTGGGGCACAACTGTCCCACCCCCCTTTTGAAAATCAACCCCCTGCCGTTGACAAAGGAACACGATTGGTCAACTTACAGAAACAAGACTGAATAATCATATCATCATATGGAACGCATACGTTGAATTTGGCCAACGGACGGGGGTATTTACTCTAGGTATCCTTTTAGAATTGAAGGAAAGACGTTTTAAAGCAAATGAATAAATCAATTCTGTTGCTTTGGCAAACGCGAGTTTTATTAATCAAACTTAAAGTAATCGGACCTCAGCAAGGCTCACAAAAATGTCTTTAGAAGAACGCATATTCGCATCATCACATGTGAAGAATAATTACCCTTGCAAAAAATGGACTTATTTACGCAGTTTTGATTGGCTGTGTCGACCAAAAATGGCATGTGGACCGATATTCGCACCAGCATCCTGAACAGTGTTGGGACTGGTCGGTAGGACGAATAAAAAGGCCAAAGGGTTTGCGGACAGGGTGATTCGAAGCGCAGTGGCTCGATCTGCTGAGGGAGGGAAACTGTGGCTACCGGGCCAATACAACGACTTGATTTCAAGTCCAAGCTCAGCATCAGTTTTATGAAATGACCTCTCTTGGAAGCGTAGCTTGGAATGAATGCCTGTCTTCAAATATCTCTCTAGTAGCCAGTGGCACAGCTGACGTTGGAGAGCGTTCCATCCTGCAGAGGGCTGGCCCGATGGTTGTTATGGTAGTTGGTTTACTTGGTAACTCGTAGTCGTCGTGGCGCGTCGCAAAAGCATGCGTAACACACCAATGTTTACCTGGCAAATGTAGCTATTGCTGACTTGATTTTCTTGATCGTCTCTGGTTTCAACTTTCTGCCCCTTAAAACATCATTCTCCACGATAATCTCAGCATGTACATTTATGTTGTTTGCAGCAACACAGTACTATTCGAGCATGTTGACGGTATCACTGGTTGCACTGGACCGATTCTACGCAGTTTGCAGGTCGATAAAGTACGGAGCCAGATCAAGCATCCAGAAAAACCTGAAACGTGTGGCTGGAGCCTGGAGTTGCAGCCTCAATTACAGCACTATTATGATTTCAGAAGGTATCATGACTTCGAAATCTTGTCCAACTTTTTTTCCGGATCCACCAAAGAGTCCCTTTGTCGGCAGCTGCGACACGACGGACGCGTCTGAGCCGTCCTCAAATCTCAGTGACGTCTTCAAAGTCGTACCGTTCGTCGTTTGTCTGGCACTGAACTGCTTACTGTATGCGCACACCATCAAGACTCTCAGAGATCGGTTTGTGCTTCACACCAATCGTCCCATGAAGGAGGTGCCCGTATGGATCAGACAGATTCACAAGTCGTGGGTCCGAATCACCAAGATGCTTGCTTTCAACAACCCGGTGTTCTTCGTCTGTAACATGCTGAGGTGTGTCACTCTTATTTGTGGTTACATCCACGACACCCTTGGCGTTACCCGATGGGATGTCGACGAAACTGCTTACGCCCTCACGGGCTGTCTGCTCCTTCTGAACTCCTCCATCAACCTATTAATTTACAGCTTTACCCAAAAAAAATACAGACAAGCTTTCTGAGAAGCGTTCCTTCCGTGCCGTTCATCCTCTGTGGCAAGTCAGAGTATACCCTCACTTCTGAGACTAAATATGAGTCAAATGATCTGATTGACACTCAACGCTGCTGTCACAATTCTCATGCAATGGCCTCAAGCTGGACCAAGAGAGGACGCTATTCCCCTGGCAACGGACGCTCCCATATTCGATTAGCTTACCTGTGTAAGTCAAACTTATGGGAGAGCGTTCGTTTAGCCATCACGTGATTTTCGTGCCTGCCCTGGTGTCAGCTACCACTACCCCAGCTGGCGAGCGGGTCTCTGGGGGCTGCCCAAGTGTAATGACGTCACAGATGGACTGTTCGAGCATGGACATGATGGAACTTAGCGGGGACTTGACTTTTTTCCCAGAATGCCTTGGCAAAGACACTGCAACGTTCCATTAGCCTCATTTCGAGGCTTCCCTTGCGTGTGACACTAGTGTATTCGGGGAAGCTAATCGAACGCACCCAAATTGCGCACCGCTGGTTCACAAACGACTATGGAACGCAAGCGTTGCTGTCGCATCACTACCAACAAAATGGACACTACCGACCAACGTAGTTTTTTCAACCGATGAGGGGGTGCTTCTGATCGAGGTGGATAGTTAAAGGCCTACTCAATACTTACTATAACACGCTATTCAGAGTAGGGTGTTTGGAGGCATTTGGAATTCATGAGGCACCGCCTCCCCACACACACCCCGTTAAATCATCGATACTTTTATGTAAGGAGAAAAGTTGTTTCTTTAACTACGAAGCAAGAGGAAACTAAGTCACACGCATAATGGAAATCGTGTTTTGGGCTTTATAATGAATTTATTAATCAGGGACGACACGCAATAGCTGAAGGGGGTGTCATGATTACCTTCAAAAATACACGCAAGGAAACATCCAACACGTCCACCCTTCATGCACACGGTAGGTTTCAGTACATACCAGAACCACACAAAAGTAGTAACAATACGTGCACTGTCTACCGTGGCTCGAATGTAAGTGGAGGTTTATATAACAGTGGCGAGTCCAGATCTTGGGTCCAGACGTGGCCCCTAAAATGGCAACATATCTCCAAAAGGAACCTTACTCCCCCTCCCCGCCCTCGCTGGATATATACGCCACTGTTTTAAACAATATAACAGGAAGAAAGCAGGTTGTACAATAGCTTTGTTGAAGACACCATCGTGTGGTAAAGGCTTCACAGATGATAAATCTGCTCGAAACGCTTTGTTTCGAGGATCAAGTAAGATGACCTGGGCTTAAGGGTTTAGAGAGTCTACGAAACGCCTTGGAAAGTTCAATGAAGCCTTCCATCTTCATACCCAAAGACTTCTAGATACATATTTTATGGGTCGTGGCTGTTACTTTGAGAATTAATATTTAATTCAGAAATGTAAAAAAAACCTGCTGCTAACTGCTTGCCGCCTCCAAATTCAGTCAGGGATACGACCCTATTTGGACTGGCCACTGATCACTCGTAGTGTGTTCTGATACATGGTTCTGGCTGTATGTTTTGGTCTGGCAGCAAAATGAGCGCCATCTTTACCCAACACCCCCTGCTTGAGCTGGTTGTTTTCGTCCTTGTATACCTTGAAATGGGTGTGGTCAGTCAAGCAATTTGTTTGCCTGCCTTAGCCAGGGAAAATTACTTCAATATTTTGTTCGACTTTTAACGCTGTTCATCTTGAGTTGGCAACGAGGAATTTCTTATCGCATTGGTACAAGTGCAGATTAGAACACAAAGATGACGCCTGTACTGCATGTTTTGCTCAACCAAACAAATTGTTGCCAGGGAACACTTCACTCATTTTTTTTTTACTTCCTACATTCCACCCTTCAGACAAAGCACGCCGTGCCATGGAAACACACACAATCTTTGCAATGCAGACTGCTAGAAGAGACTTTAAGACTGTTTACAATGTGACATATGCGTGTGATGTAATGACCTGCCCAAATATGGTGATGCTCGTGACTGATATTGGTGTTATACAAAGCAAAAACGAGGCCTAACGTTTCGATCATAGCAGGATCTTTTAAAAGCAGAAATTAACCATAATGTTAGTCAAAATAATACGATAAACCAAAAATGTACAAAATGAAACACACCAAAGATACATCTGTTAATCTTTCTCAAACTTGAAACAACTGCTCTACTGAAACTACAGTACATCTCCATTTATGGAGTTGATTTCTTTTTCTTGCAGAGTTTTAAGGGAAATGCGTTTGATCGAGTACTGATGCCCAGGCGGTATCCTGACTTTCCATTTACATAAATGTCTAAAACAATTTATTTCGCTATATCACTGTTTGTAAACATTTTGTCCTAAGTCGCGTATTGACCGATCCTGGAATATGCTAAAAGTAGAAGTATGTACAGAAGACGCGTTTTTTCTGAGCTAAAGCTGATCTAAAGCAAGCCTGATACCCAGTTTTAAAAGGCCCTGTTAAATGTCCAACACCTCGTTGGAATTGAAGTGAGAAACAACGAAATAAATCTGGATATTTGGCTCAGACATGTAGTATTAACAATAAGCTGGAACAATAGAGCCCGACAATTGAAAATTAAGGGAAATAGACCATACACGTGCCTTTCAAGGACAATGTGACATAGCATCATAATGGCCAGTTATGCTGACTTTCATATCAGATGGACCCTTGGCAAGCACCGTTAATACAGAGAGTTGCCACAATTTCAGGCTTTGGAACCAAAATGCCTATTCATCGTGTACACAGTGGTATAGTGTGCAGCTACTTTATCGGCAGACCTCACGTCAGTTTCACAGTAATACAATAATGCAAGCGTTATTTAGCACAAATCACCTTAATCTCTTTGTATTTATATTTTGCTTTGATTTCATCGAGACAATTTGGCACAGTTTAAAATTGGTTTCTGACACTAGCTTTGTACACACTAAGAGATCTATCTTCAAACATCTTCGCCCTTCCATATGGGCGCGCGGAAAGTTCCCACTCGTGTAAAACGAGTGGCGCGAAACGTGTTTGGCGACTTGCTCCTCGGAACCCCGTTATTCCGGCAGAGTTTCTTGCCGACCATTTTCCTCTGCACGTGATAGGCCGAGGTTTTCCCGAGAGTGATGCGGCAGCAGAAGCTGCACTCTTTGTCCAGTAGGTCCTTCTTGCCCAGGCAGTACACACCGGCCAAGAGAAGGGCTCCCAGGGAGAAGGCGGCTACGGCGAAGGTGGCCCTGCAAAGCACCGAGTCGACGTAGAGGAGCATGGCGTAGCAGGCCGCCGACTCCAGCGTGACGAGCACGCTGACGGCCAGGGTGAGCTTGCTCCGACGGACGGCGTGCATGACGTTGCGATCGCTGCTGCCGAAACGACTGCAGAGGCGCTTGTGTAGCATCATGCAGATAATGTACAAGTGGAACGTGAGCAGAAGGCCGATAGGCGACACTACGCCAGCGTAGAGGGCGATACTTGGGTTCAAGAAACAGCTAATAGTCAAAGAAAAATATCAATCATAACATTTTAAGTCCAAACTGCAACAACAAGTGTGCGAAAAAATCGCAAATTAAGAAAACCAGTTTCGTGCATGCACATTAATGCAACTTTTAAAAGTGTCACAAGACGACCTGTCAATGAAAACTTAAGGAATGATTAGTGGAAACAAAACACTGAGATAGGAACAAAGTGTCTTTGAAGAGTTTAACTACAGACTTGGCATTTTAGCAGTCCCCACAGTTCATGGAACACCAACTTTGAAAAAGACTTCCCTCGTGGAGGAAATCGGTTCAGTTCGATTGAATGCCGTGTTGTCCCCAATTTTAGTCGAAGAAACTGTAGCTCTTCGGAAACAAAGAGACATTCTTGGGTAAAAAAAAAGTGAATATCATTAACCTCTACACAGCCCTGACATTGCAACTTTGAATGACTATTCAAATGAATAGAATGACTTGAAGACGAAACAGGACTGTCTTACAATTTGTTGTTTTCTGTCCAGCTATCGGTGGCCAGGTAAATGATGACCCGAGAATATGCTACAAACAGTAGTGGCACACCTACAACAAAACAGCACAGTGTTATCAATGTGTCACTAAACTAAATTAGAAGTTTTTTTTTAGAATTCATAATTGTCTAGCCGGCAGGAATTTTCAATTACCTTGATTTTCTGGACCAATTAAGATTTCCAAGAGCGAGTTATGATCCGATGACCCCGGTATAACCTACCGCTAGGAGTAACAACATGGCTATCCAATTCGACTTGTTTCAATCGACAGCTTCAAAATTTTCCAACCAAGCATGTGTTACCTAAATCAATTTAGAAAGATTGCCGTGCTTGGATTAACTTAAAAAGATCAATGCCGAAACTGAGGACTCTCGTGTGAATAAAACGAAAACGACCCCTCACTGAATTCTCACCACAAACTTTCTAATCCTACCCTGAAAGCTAAGATGTCGTATAGTAACCATCTCAAACTTTTTCCAACATTGAAACGTATTAACGGCAAATCGTTGTCCGGAAGAAGTGACCTTAAAAGTTTGTCACCAAAACTCACCCCAGCATCCAACTGTCACACGCACGATGCACTTGTTGAGGAATTCCTCTCGTTCCAGTACCACCTGCCAGAAGAGATTGAGCGACTCCACGGCCGTCCAGCTCAGCGCGACCAGCAGGAAATAGTGCAGCAAAGCGGAAATGACGGTGCAGCCGATGCCGTCGGCGAGGTGGATCTGGTCGACGCCGCCCAGGAACAGCCCGTTCAGGAAGAGGAGCGCTATGCAGAGGTTGATGACGGTGCGCTGAGGCACCTTGGCCCTGGAAGTACAAAGACCAGGGAAACAGGCACAGTTACAACTGCATTTTGGCAAATGTTTACGACCTCAAACACTCACCACTCAGCGAATATAAGTCAGACACATGGAGCTTGCGGTGAAAACAAGGATGCCTCTTGTTTAACAGCTAGAATCAGTGATTTCTATGGCACATAAAAATTAATGGTTTATTTGGCTGGGTCTCAACCCTCTGCCTCCTGATTGAGCTTGCAATAAGCAGAGGCTCACTGCTCGTGGGTTGCAGTCAGCATCTAGTCTCATGGATTCTTTTCGTAGGGACTCCCCGTCAGCACCAAGCATTGCGTGCTTGCCAAAGTAACAGCAGAAATGAGCAAATTCAAACTAGGTGAGTTTCCCCGTACTATGATAACTCTGCCTGCCCTATACGCCCATTCTCAGCTCAAAATTTGCCGAAGATAAAAACCTTCGTTTTAAACAATCAGTATTATGTTGAAATCCGACGAGGAGACTCAGGTATCGCTGTACTTCTCCTCTACAGAAGAAGAAGTCTGAATTAAACACATCAAAGTGACATACCCACTCGCCATCTTGTTTCATTCAACACTGCACCAAAGTGCTATCAATAATACGTGTGCATACGACTGCATTTGTAATTTCTTAATCTTCGGATCAATTGAAACAGAGGAACTCACCAAATGCACATACTGATCATGGTAGCAGCGGTCATCATCCCAATACACAGCACACAGCCGGCAAAGACTATGATATCAATCATGAACACCTTGGGTGTCTGTTGGGAGGGGATTCGAAAAGATACGATTCAAGGGACAACTTCAATACAGGCGAGAAGGCCTGTATGCTAAGAAACAGGTGCAGGGTTTTACCTCGTGATTTCATCAAAGAATCCAAGAAATAAGTGTTACCCTCATACTTTGCGGAAATTTGCATCTCCTTAACATCTCCGTTGAGTGGCAGCCATTTGTAATAATGAACAATAAAATAAAGACACCAAAAATTGCGAAAAAACAAGGAAACACTCACTTAAACTGAAAGTGGAAATGATCACAAAGGAAAACTTTAACTGTTGCAATTTCTGAAACCACAGCAGCTCTCTCGGATGAAATCATGGTTTTACTCATAAATATGGCTTTTCAAATTGGCATAAAAACCCACAGGGAACCCGAAACAGCCATGGCAGTGATCACTACGAAGGCTGAGGGTAAAAGTGAAAGGTGAAACAGTTGTTCATTACAAAAGATTGAACCTAAGAAATGCACGGGTGCCTCAGACAGCAAGATCTCTGCAGTCAGACTTACCAGTCGGAGCGCGAATTGGGTGAGATGGTCGCATGAACAGACGACGTGTCCAGATACCAGAGTCTGGGCAAGATGGCATCCGTTAGTTGACCAGGCACCTCCACCATCGGCGAGGGATTGATTCCAGAACACGCACTCAGACTCCCGACCCTCATACTCCTAAACATCAACATGCGACAAGAATGTTTGAGTTCTGAAGGTGAAATTGACACGATTGGATTTTATTTTGGATTTTATTACCGGATTATTATTATTGCCAGGGCTCAGATAGCCCCTCTTCAATCATTTTTGCGCATCCTCCCCAAGAAAAATTGCCCCCCCCCAGGTCGTTCCTACTTGCTTTTCGGAAACAGCACACACACCATCCTGATGTGATCACAATTATGTACATGTATGGCCAACATCCAGTCAGCCCCCCCCCACTTTAGCGTGAAGCCCCTCCCCCGTGCTCAGAAGTCTGGCTACACCGCTGCAGAGAGCATACATCCTAATAGATGGTAAACGTTTAGCGGGACTTTCCTTCTGTTCCAACAACAGAGTGCTTCCGTGGTGCACTGGAGCCATTACGGAGGACAGCTTTTATAAAACTCATGGACGGTGAAATTCCAACACGTCTCATGTACATCACACGTGAACAATATACCCATTCGACCACAACTTTGACAAAAATTTTCGGGTGAGGTGAGGTGCGTAGCGATTGCACTTTACGTCGACAACGACACGATTTGGAAAACCGCGCCACGATTGCAGACTCACCTGCCAGGGCTTCAGAGTGATCGTTGCCGAGTCGTTGTGCAGGTAAATTTCCCTCACGACACCCGCCACGCTGGCAGCAATCACCGCGCTGTTCATGTCAACCTCTTCGGCGGCTTGGAATAACTTGGTGTCGTTGTAGAAAGTGAAAATAGCCGGATAGGTTGAGGATGCCGTACCTGAAACGACAAGAATGAAAGGAAATAGAACTAGGATTTCATGCACTCGGTTATAGAACATCCAGGAAGTACCCGAGTACAAATGGTAAAGTAACTACACAAAAATAAATAAATTAAAAATTTAAAAAAAAATCGCGCTTAACAACTATTCTGAGAAATAGGTGTTACGATAATGTCACAATAAATGTGACAATACCTAGCAATTTTAATGAGTTTGTTGTTTCTGAACAGTAACTAAACAAAACAAACAATATTTTGTTCATTGGAGACAAACCTTAACGAGTTTGAGCCTGTACAAGTTGTGATGAATGACGATTCAATTACTTGGCAAGTTTCCAATGATTTCACCCCAGAATCAGGAAAAGCACAAGACATCAACCTACCTCGGGCAGTGTCATACCAAAACACACCAGTTGGCAACGAGATAGAGGCAATGAGATCGTCGTATTCCGGTTCCTGCCCCTTGTCACCGGCTTCCTCTTCCCCAGAAAAATGAGTCGACGCCCCGTCTGTTCGAAGCGTGTAAGTCACGGTGGCGTTGTGAGGAACGTAGATGGTCCAAGCCGCCAGGTTGGACTCGGTGCTAATGAAACTATCACTACCTCGTTGGGCGTGCAAGAGATGAAAGTCAAGGGACCTAAGGATTCTTGTGTTGGCCATGACACTCTTTTGTGCCTCGTGAAATTCCTCCCTGGGTACGTTTAAGATGTTGTCCATGGATTCAACGATGTTTTTTGCAACCTTTAGCAAAGTGGAAGAGCACTGGTAACATTTATAATAGGAAAGGTTGAATGAAACGAGACAGGCAAAAAACAGACAGCTTTTGGAGCGGTCAACTAAACATTTATAACATATAAGTTGGGCTTCTACGTCACGTCTGCAAGTATAGGCCAATATATATGTTCATTTGATAACACGACAACTGTAACATATCCTGATTTCCCCTGACAAAAATGCGGTGTTTAATCACAAATAGTGTGTCAGTCTGTTTTCATACAAGCCTTAAATTGTACCACAGAAGAATAAAAAATTATTTTTTTCCTGACTGAAAAAAACTAGGATTTGAATGTAGTTTGCAATGTGAGCTTCGGAGAGAGGTCGGAACTGTCACATCCTGTTTGACAAACAGAGATTAATTAAGTTACAGATGACTCAGCGATGTAAGGGGTTCATTGCCAGTTCATGTGCTCAGTTTTCCTCGTGTGCCGTGATCGCCTGCAAAAGTACTGATTTTTAGGACTAACTGAAAGTTGACATGCATCAGCGGGCATGCGCGTTTGGTCGGTGGAAATTTGGTCCTGAATAAGGCGTATCACGGCACACACACCGGTGTCGATGGCAGATAAGATAAGACAGTGCTCAAGGACGCTTTACTTGGGATGAGGTGGATCCGACCACAGAGATGCTCTCCAGGATTGTCGCGTAAGACTCGATCCCCGCAGCAGATATGGAACTGTGCCCCGTGGTAATCACTTTTAGGGCTCCCGAGAAGTTTTCAACGTTCTCTGAGCCGACTGCTATCTGTATGGAAATAGGCCATTAAGATTAATTTAAGGTACAAAGATTGATTGCTATGGACTATGTGGTGTTAAATGACATTCACTCACAATATGCGGAACATTCACACACATAAGCTGGAGTAAAACTTCTCCCGGCAGTCCGTGGATAAGGTAGTTTCTTTTCGTTCGTTTTTTCTTTCTTTTGTTGCGGGGAAGGGGTATGCTTACCCACGTTTCAATACACCAACGTGACTTCGCCTCAGTCGAGGCTGAGTTATTCGGATATCGAAAAGAACAGCATGTCCTATTGATGTAACCTTAAAAATGTTGAACGCTTGAGAGGGGCATAGACTCATCACGGACCGGAAATGTACTGTTAGTAGCACATCTTTTGCGTCACCACTTTTTACCCATTTAGTTTGACCACAATCCTTCACACATGCACTTACATCGGTCAGGTTAGCGAGAAGTCGGTCAGCATCACAGCCTGTAGGCAATTCACAATGACTCATGAACGCCAAGTTTATCGCATCCACGTAGCAATCACAGATACCTATGGGAACAACACCACAGTTGAAAGAACTATCAAACTTTCGTTGGGGGTAGCAGAGACAGACCCACTAACTTTTCTGGAGTGGTATTAAATGCATTCGGGCTTGCCCAACCAATATCACGTCACTCTAGATGTGCTGGGTACATTTCTTTCGCGAAGTTTACAGTCCAGAAGCCGTCGACTGCAATTTTGTGAATTTTGAGACTCAGGATCGAATATTATCAGGTATAGAGGATTGGATGCCAAGATTTATGGTATCATTCAGTAGATGAATGAGGGGTGTACCATCTTATCAAATAACCGAATAATAAAGGGCAACAGAGCAACAGATACAACCGTATTTTCAAGATTATTTTGTCTTTGTTTTGTCAAAACAATAATTCCTTCAAACGGTTTCCTTTTCCTCACGCGCAAATTGCAAGGCTTAGGAGCAGTAACTCATTCAAAATGGCCAAAGCATTCTGCACGCCTGTACAGCTTTTTTTTTTACCAAATCGAGCAGTGGTACTTATGGCAATAGAACCTGCCAGCTTGAAGAAGTTTTAAGCTAGAGTTAAAGGGCAAAACAATGACACGTTGGCGAAGGGCAAATTGGTCAACGTCCAAATCAAACAACATATGAGGAGGAGCACCTCTATTCAAACTGACATTCTGGACACACTGAATCAGTCAGCAACTTTGACGCCGAGTTCCAAGTAAGCCCAAGAGGGGTTCGAACCCGGACCGCACATTTTAGAAACAAGCGTCAGCTTGGTTGCTTTTATAGGAAGCATAGGTAGGTTATAGACGTCTCTATACTCTTAACCGAAAGAAACTTCAAGAGATACTGTAACAGTGGTACTGCAAAGCAAAAACTAAAGGGTTTCTCGGTACTTAATGTAGGTGACAAACAGGTTGAAGTAAAAATGATCATTTTCTATTTTCAACATAAAATCAAAAATAAAATTGTTAAGTGGTTGTCAAGGACTGGAAACATTCAATGATTGATGACATACAAACAGCAAATTCATTTTCCGACAAAAAATTAGACAAATTAATCAAAAGAACATTCCTCGTGCAAGTAACGCAGCGTCGAGACTTGTGTCACCAAGGAAAAGAGGCATGTTTTGAGGCAAAGCCTTTGCGATTCCAGGTTTAATCCTTGGCGGATTTACAGCTGACAAGTCCAATTTCCGGATATGCCATTTTCACTCTTCCAGGTCTCATCGGTTTCGGGTATTCCATGAAGTAATAAATTCACCTCCTGAGCAGCTGCTTGCAACACATTTTGAACGTTTCCAGATGTTCCAAAAGACACTAATGAACACGGACAAGAATTGGCAGATGAGATAATGAAATTGAGGGAACCGTATACCTGAAATAGCCGACAGCAAACATTTGAGTAAGTCCCAACAGCAAATACGGACGCAAAGGAAGGATAGACGTTTAACTACCGACGTATTTCCAGAGTTACGGGGAATGTTGGTCACACTTACCGTATGTCCCTGCCGTAATAGCTATTGGTACATTTCCAATTGTAATCCTTGCTGGTTCGGTCGAATCGAGGAAGGGGGAGGTGGTTAGATCGACAACTCCGGGTGAGGTTAAGCCATGCAAAGTGATTTTTTCTACTTCTGATGGAGGAGTATGCTCATGCGTTGTTGTAACATTGGTGGGTAGATTTGGCATTGGTGCACTCCTTTTCGGAATTACAGCTGAAGTTCTGACAAAAGCTGTGGTTGGGGCCGGTGTTGTGGTCCAGGTCGGTGTTTTGGTTGAAATCGAAGTCGTGCTGGGGACTGGTGTTGCAGTAGCTTTAATGGGTGTTGTAACTGTTGGACTTTGTGTTGTAGTTTTGAAAATAGGTGTATTTGTTTGAATGAGTGTTGTTGGAATTAGCGTTGTGGTTGTTGGAATGGGCGTTGTGGTTTTTGGAATGGGCGTTGTGGTTGTTGGAATGGGCGTTGCTGTTGTTGGAAGGAGTGTTGTAGTTCTTGGAACAGTTTTTGTAGTTGTTGGAATAGTTGTAGTTGTTGGGATACGTGCTGAAGTTGTTGGAACTAGAGTGGTGGGACTTTGTGTTGTAGTTGAAGCTGAAATGAATTGGCAAAACAAAACACAATCGTTAGACAAGGTACAGCCACAATAAAGTCGACAAAGACCAATCGTAAGTGCGGGGATACGTAACAAGTGGTACTAACGACATCTTCTGAGACTAAGTGTGAGATGATCAACAGAATGCAACGTATATGAAACTACGACTTTACAATGATACCGCCAAGGCTACCTGAATACATAAATTTCTTAATGAAATGTTTCTCAGTTCGATTTCAATCAAGCAGTAAAACAGCTTGTGTTTTGGGTATGAAGGTTCCTTTTTGGTCGCGATGCTATACTAATAACTTCAGGTCACTTCAATAAAAGTGTTCGCAGATCAAATTTATTGAAGCAGTACCTATTTTTCAACCCGAATCCATGCAACCCATGACCAAAGTTTGCTAAACTTACGATCTAATTGATAGATTTCTATCTGGTTAATGATTGTAAGAAAATGAGACGTTAATCACAGTCACTATTCGACAATGCAAGAAACTATAACAGAAGGCAGGACAAGATTAATCCAACCTGTTCTATAACAACTGGTCAATACGTTTCAGTCAGTCCAATTAACTCTCGTAAACAATGAGACTTCCGTCCGTAGCATAATGAAGCAATGCCAAATCCTAGGCAAGTGTACCTTCGAAAATTGTGACCACAAATGTGCAGGTGGCTGTGTTATTGGAGGTGTCGAAGAAAGTGTAGGTGACATTAGTCTGTCCTGCCGGAAAAGCCGTGTTGGATCGATGCGTCGTCAACCATGAGACGGGCACACCAGAATTGTCCCGTACTTTCGGCCTGGACCATTTCACGATCACGCCGGAGGTGTTGTGCTCTGGTGTCGTCTTGTTGATGTCGGACGGACATCGAAGAATGACTGGAGGTTCATCGTCTGGGAATTCAGGTGGAAAGAAGGGAACTTCCATGACATATTTCAAGAAAATGAGGATTCTTTGTTTTTGTTCAGCGCCCTCGGTTTTTATTCATCTCTTGAACTTTTCAGGAATACTTTGAAGAACGCAAAATTAATTCCAATATTTATGATCCAAACTTTTATTCGGTCTCAGAGTGACTTGTGAAATAGCAAACCATTTTACACAAGATTAATAACATTGTAACTTCACTGAGTTTTCTTTGAAAAGGGATGCTATTTCTTTTCTTCCTATACAAGTGGGAGGAAGAAAGTGCCTTCCAATTTATTATGGATTTACAAAAGCAAACCACCTATACCTGCATAATATCTGATACAATAATACCATTCCAAACTTGAGTTTCCAAACTCACCGATGGCCTCCACGGTCACGGTGAAGTTACACGTGGCTGTGTTTCCCGCCATATCGGCGAAGACGTAAGTCACCGGTGTTTGGCCCACGTGGAAAACAGACTGTGGCTCGTGCGACCCGTTGAGTAGCCGGACGGGACCGATGTCATCACTTGCCTGGGGCAGAGCCCAGTCGACCACCACGCCCGGCACGCCCAGGCGGATGGTCTCGTGGACGTCGTTCGGGCAGCGCGTAATAGTTGGCGGGACCAGATCCTCTGTGCGTTCAATCAATAGTTGAAATCTATTATCAATCAAATTGAATCAACTCACACCCTCTAACATCTCATCTTCAATATGTGTTCTGTATGTATGAAGCTGCCTCGTTTCCACAACGTGACGCCAAGACCACTCTCTTATTAATCTTTGTTTTACTTATCCTTAACCTCTCAACTAAATTGGAGTCTAGCCTCAGCTTCCAAACAATAAATGTCTACTGTTTCAAAACCAATTCACTGTTCAAATAAACACGAATGAAAACATTAAAAACACTGCCAAATATTCAGTGATTACAACCTTCGCAGTTCAATTCATGCAAAGAAATTGCTGAATTCTAGACTGGAACATTAGGATAATAAAGCGACCGGTGTTCTTACCAAGCAGTTGCACAGTCACTGAGAAACTACACGTAGCTACGTTGTCGGAGGGATCTGCGAAGCGGTAGGTCACCGTAGTTGGACCCTGTCTAAACTTGGACCCGGGCCTGTGAGTTGCGTTTGTCGACTGAATACGGCCAGAGTTATCGATGACTTCGGGCTCCGTCCACTCGACAACCAGTCCATCGTTCAGCAAGTGAGAGTAAACGGACGTCGTGATGTTCATAGGGCAACTGATGATCAGTGGTGGCTCGGAATCTGGGAAAAAACACAATAGAAACGAACCATGTCGGTGAGTGACATATCCTGTGTGACCTTTGAAAGTACAAGACTCTGTAAGTCAGTGAGAGTGTAATGTCCTCATTGTATGACAAAATAGTCAAGTTTCACGTTGATTCTACAGGCATGATTGTATTGTTCGTTATTCAGAAATGTCTCGTGTTTTCACGTGCAAAAAAAAAGGAACATTAAGTATCGCCTCATTACGTGAACGAAAGAGGGCGCTTTATTATCAAATGATGACAAACAGTAGGACTGACCGATTTATTCGGTAAAAAAGCTCGCCCGCCGTTATAGGTTGGTTATTGTGTAAAACATCTTAGCAACTGTGTCAGTTTCTGCCATTCTTTATTCATGACCGGCCACCCACACTGGCGTTAGCAAGAGTTAGCAATTAGACTTGAAGTGTAGGCCTAGTTACCAACTTCGTTGACTGTCACGGTGAAGTTACAGTCAGCCCTATTGTCAGAAGGGTCGAGGAAAACGTAGGACACGACTTCTGCTCCCGTTTTGAAATTGTCGCCCGGCTCGTGGGACGACCGAGTGAGGGGTGAGAGCCCGGAGTCGTCAATCGCTTCCGGCTGCAGCCAGTAGACACTGATCCCGCCCGAAGCCAACGGGATGGTCTTCGTGATGTCAGCAGGACAGCTGATGATGAATGGTGGCTGTGTGTCTCTAGCTGGAAGCGAAGCACATCGTCAAAACACCTTTTCTTTAAATCGAATTAAGAAAATCTATTTTTCCATTACACATACAATATAAAAATTGCCGTGCTGAATTAAGGCCGTATCATATTTCCAGGCGAACGCAAAGCAAATTTGACCTCACAAATGATTTGCCGCAAAATTTTGTGCGAGTTGAAATGTGTTCAACTGTTGCATTGGCAGCACGACTATTTGATCTGACGTTAAAACTTCGGGTTTATATTCGCCTTGAGCAAGGCCTTTGCCTTGAGGGCCGTCATCTTGGTATAACTGACACGACCACTAGGTCCCTATTCACAAGTTGTATCCCGAAATCTTCTTCCTTGCAAATGTACGCCATACCGTACGTTGCAAAGCGATGCAGCATGGCGCAATCAGAAGTCATGAGGCCTGTGATTCCGGTGCAAATTCCGGGAAAATTATGCATTAAATGCATGAGAACATGCATTCAGCACTGCAGTTTCGATTTTACACCCGATTCAAGGGAACCTCGCAAACCAATGCTGAACCAACATCACTTGATAACCCGCGAGAGGAAACGAAGCTTCCACGCTCGACAAGAGTTATAAATTTGCCGCGGTGGTTAGCATGCATTCGCATGCACCAAGATGCCATATTGCCTCTGCTCCCCGCGCCGTTGGGTTAGCGCTACCGGTGCGACTCATTACAAATCACGCTACTTACGAAAGTCGGGGGTTTCCATGGCAGTTAGTATTCATTCGGCGTAGGGAGAATATCTGGCATGTTTTCACCCATCATTGAATGGGTTCATTTGTGAGCAGGAGGCCGGTGCCGTGGCAGCCGTAATGAGGCGACGACGCTCGGTTTGTGGGTTATTCTGAGTCAGAAGAGCAACTTCGTTATATGCTATCAACTACTGGAAGCGCTCCCGAGACACAACTTTTGTGCGCGTAGCCCGCTTGTAGCTACTTCAAGAACTGATGTTTTATTTACTGTGTTGATAAATAGTATCATGTAAATAACATCGCAAAACAAGATGCAGTACAGGAGAGCCCAAAAGATGCAGTACAGGAGAAATTCTCAGAAAATAAAAATAACTAAATGGGGATTACTGTAAGACTTAACTTCACAAGCAGGTGAGGTAATTTCACACAAAACAATACTTAAAATAGCATTGACCCAAATTTGTTCTATGAGAAACTACAAAGCAAAGTATAGAAAACCAGGATTCCTTTTGGGAGACTCACCAGGTATTTCAGAATTTTTATACAGAAAAAAGAAATGAATTATTGATTGGCATTTTAAAAGTGAAAAGTGACAAGAATAAACTTGAAATCCAGATAAGATGATGGCCAATTCGTCGTGAGCCAATGATTAGTATCCGGGTCCCTGGTCCGAAGCAGGTCTCCGGGTAACCTTGATTTTGGTGACGAAGATTTTGTTTAACTGAGGAAATTACCCAGGGCCTGAAGTACTTCGGCACTTGATTTTTTCCAAACACTTCACGCGATTTTGACGGCATTCAGGAAAAACATTCCAAATACCGCGTGAGCCTACACGAACGTTTTCTTTTCAACAGATGGAAGGAAACTTTTAATCGGTTGTTCTTAACTTCGTGTACTTTAGCTAATTATGATTTAAACCAAGCAGGTTACTGTCCACACAAAGGACTTTCCTGATGTGTAAAGAAGTACACTGAGTTTTCGCAGGGTCTCATTTTCGTCAATCCCTGACTTGTTTGTAGGCCCTAGAGGCAATGCCCTCTGTGCCTCTCGGGTAATCCAGCTCAGTTTCCTCCACATGCAGTAAGGTAGAGCTGTAGAGTATTCGAAACGACCATTTTTTTATACACTTTTGTCAAAATAATCTCCTGGGATTCTAGAATCCTACCTATGGAATGAACGACCCCTCCAACTGCCGTCTCCTCCCCATCAACGAGGGCCCGGATGCCGATCTCGTACGGCGTCTCGGTCCTGATATCGTAGATGGTGATCCGCGAATCCTGGGTCGGTATGTCGCGAACGTCCACGCCGTCTACACTGATCACCGACACGATGTACCGGGAGGCACCGGGCTCGACCGGCCAGATAACCTCCAGGGTGCTGGGCGGGTAACTGACCAACCTGATGTTGTCCTGAGATGTCACTGTGGATGAACAGAGGGAACAAAGTGATGATATTACAGCAACGCTGTGGTTTTTTTCAACCTTTCAGCCATGATGACAAAGGCAATCATTCCGCTTCAGTGATGATTGCGATCACACCAGTAGAGGGTCTCCAACGCGACTAGATGTCTTTGCCCTCGGCTAACAATTATCTTGTGCTTGGCTGCATTATACTTATCTGAAATATTATGATACTGTCTCTTCAACTGGTAGCCAGGTCCAATCAACAATTTGTCATCCAAACAGCATTACTGCAATACCACCACATTTTTTTCTTGATTTTCCTTCTTTAATTAAAAAGTAGATAACACGAAGGGAACTCTTATAAAATCTCGTCGGAGGGGGGTTCAGGAAACTATTTGTTGTATTTCCTTTGGACACGTTGACTTTAAACTTCACACGCTGGAAATTGCCTGGGTTAAACTTTCATCCAAGGAAAGGTGAAAACTGCAACTACCCAAATATGGGCTGTGTTGACCCAACTCTGGGTTGAGAACTACTTTGTGTTTCAGTTTTCACCCACAAAATGGGTGGATATTAACCGTTGTTTGGTTAAAACAACCCCGAAATTAATTTCAATCACCCAAATTGGGTTGAAACAACCTAAACTATAGGGTAGTTGCAGTGTTCACCCTCGCTTTTTCAGTGCAGATTATGATCTTAATTCAATTTATAATAACCCTTATTTCTTATAATCCTTCACATTTTGTGAGACAGGAAATCCCAATGCAAAGGGCATATCCAGGGACGACACTTATGCAAATTTCGCCTGTTATACCTTGATAGTAAACTGGCATTTGGTGAAAGCTGAATATCTTAAGTAAAATTTTTTCATGAAAATACAATTGATTGCTTCAACTGGCAACGTACTAGATGAAACTGATTTCAAATATTTTTTGTGACATATTCTGTGAAACCCATCAAGTTTTCATGGACCTTGATCCAAACCTACGCATACTGTGATGAGCTCAAGCACCCACAAAACTGACATTGAATACCTCCTGAGGTAAATCTAATTCTGGAAAACCGGAAGCTGTCTCTCCAAAGCTGTTACCAGTGTTTTGATGAATCACTGCATTGCTAGGGAGAGATCCCTAGAGCGGAAAGAGGGGAAAAGCTGGTTCGGTAAACAAACCTCAGTGTTCACGCTGACACAAAAAGGGATCCCAAAATGACCGTGTACTTTTAGCCAATCCCGGAAAGGCAATGCCCTTCGACAATCAATATCTACTTAGTTTAAAATCGCATTAACCTGCCCATCTGTATTTGGCGGCCTGATAGTAAATGCATCATCCCCTTCTTGGTTAATTTATTTTCATAATTATTTTGACACTGTTGAGCCACTTTTTTCCTCTACAAATATTACTTGATGATCAATTCCTGTCAAATCAGTGAAAATGATGTATATGGCGGGTCATTTCGACAGGCAGACGGAACTCGCTCGAGAATCTTAACAAGCCTCAGCTGCCCATTTTCAACTTGTTTCTCTCTATCTTTTTATCAGAAAAGCCAGCAGGCTTTGTCACAAGGAAGTAGCCCATGAGTACAGCTTGAAAAGAGCGAGGATTTTGATAAATCCTCCATCGCGGTGGTTTATGGAATCCAAAACGGAATTATCACTTTTAGATTTTTTTTTCTTTTAATAATTGAAGGTGTTATAATATCAAAAACAATTTGTGAAGAGGAATAGGACAGGCTATCCGAAACCGCCACTCAGCCATTATGTGGGTGGGGAGTCGCAGTAGAATCCTATAGATCTGAAGGCGTATTTAGTGAAACTTTTGAGGGGTAAGATATCTGCCTGAAGTAGACATTACAAGTCAACAGATAGTCGTGTTTTCTCACCCAGCCTCAATCTGAAGCAGTCGGCGCAGCTCTAGTTTTCGAGTTTTAATATCAAACCCTTGGGACTCTAGGATAGAGCGAACTTATACACTACGGCCCCGAGACAGGCAAAGTCACTTCACCAGCCTAAAGGCTTTCTCAGTTGACTACTTTTATGTTTCATTCGTTCCGGTGATTCTGTTTCATTCTCACCCTACTATTTATAGTGGCGTAGCTTCAACTATTAATCTGCTCCAAATACATTTTATTTACATTTTGTGTTTCGATATTGTTGCTCACTTCTTTTATTTTCTAAAATAAACTTCCCTGCATTTTATCAGGTGATAAATCAATCAATTTTTCCAGATGCCGCCTACCGGATTACTATGCTTATCGACGTACATTATGTTCATTGCATAGTTCACTCCTGATGTTGCCCCTTGCTGTCCATGCGTTTTGTCTTTAGTTTTAGGACGATCTGTTTTTGTACAATAACCTTTATTTTAAACATTTCATATTGTTACGATCCGAAAATCGCCTAGCGATGTCTGTAAATTCACTCAAAAGCCTTATCTTTCCCAGATGCAACAAAGAAATCAAGCAAGATCACACTGATATGAGGAACAAAGAAAGACAGATGATTTATTGATGATAATATTAAACACTTGAAGTGTAAACATCAATAGTAATTCAATTATCAGTTAAGAGTGATTAGGCTATCAGTTAACAGTGATTACGTTATCAGTTAACAGTGATCAGGTGATCAGTAAACAGTGATAAGTTAACAGTGATTAGGTTATTAGTTAACAGTGATTAAGATACCAATTAATTAACAGTGATTAGGTTATCAATTAACAGTGATCAGGGTATCAGTTAACGGTGATTAGGTCATCAGTTAACACTGATTAGGCTACAACTTTTCACTACTTAAGTTTCAAAAACAAATTAAGTAACTCAACACTAGAAAATTCTAGAGTACTCAAGAGAGGTCAAATGAGGGTCACGCACAGTTTCTTGCTACCGGTATATTTACATAACAAAGATCATAAAAATATTTTTTTTAAACTTGATTGTTTGGTCGTAACAATATTCTAAGAAACAGGATTGTTTAGTATTCAATGTTTGTAGTGTTAATAACATTCAAGGTTTCAAGTTATTATTTGGTAATTGTTAATTTTAATTAATATATTTTGAATCTGTAGCCTGATAAAAAAAAGAAATTTGTAACTAATGTTGAAGGCGACCCTGTGTAAATTATAGAGGCAAACAGAAACACGCTCCAATCTGCACATTAAGTCAAATCTGGTATCGATGAGTATGAATGGTTAGGGTTGTCGACTGACTGATGCTTCTTCAAATAAAAAAGAATTCTGCTTTGCAATCGGAGTCTTGCCTGTGACCTTTCAGAGTCTCTCCCGTCGATGTTGGAACTTGAGATTCGGCCCTCTGTTTGGTGAATATTGTCCCCGAACTTGAGATCAAGACCGATGGATTTTGTTTTAAGACACATTCACGCACAGAAATCACACAAGTAACATAACAAGTTGTATAAGTCATAATTTTGTTTGTTTTGCTTGTTTGCCTTAACTTAATTCCATATTTTTTTTATCGTTTATGATTTTATTGTATTGTCTTTGTGTTTTATTTCTTACTTTATCTTACAGTTTTTAATGCATGCATGTAAAGATCTCTGCAACTCAGCCCTTGGCTGCTATTGAGATTTTGATAATAAATCAGTAATTAACGAATGAAAGTAACAGACCCATTTCGTGCGCAGAGACAAAAATTCGTCCGAACATTCAAGTTCAATCTAATTTTATTCATCATCACACACACATAAAAACAAGTGTTAATGTTTTCACGCCTTTTAACTCCTTTCTGTTAACGCTTTCTGAACATTCTGTGGCATTAATAATAGGAAGTTATATATATTTTATGCATGTGTTTACTTTTGAAACGAATACGTGTTGATGGAACAATCAATTTAGACACAATTACACGTTTGTTGTAAAAAGGCACAAAACATGTTTATAGAGTGGCAACACTTTCTCAGCACCAAAACACGTTTACTTCTAAAATTACAATTAACGCAAAGACGCGTTTATAATGGGCGTTAGTTTTTACAGTGCACCGAAACTTCGGCTGTGTTCAAGCGTGATCCTCGGGTTACAACAAGTACACCCAGAGCACACAAACGACAAGCTTACGTGCCGATGGTCTGTGGTGTAATGTATTCTGACAGCAACGCTCGCGCAACTTTCCTGCACGCTCAAGTCACAAAAGCATCGGGACACGGAGGCACGCAGTCTAAATCTCGTGAACAAGTATACGGCAAACAGAACCTTCAAGCTGTGTAAAGTCGGTGAGATACTTACATGATGCGTTTATAAGCTAAACAACTTTCACGTTTTATCACACAAATCGTGATTCTGAACAAATTTAGAATGTAATGCGTTTACTGTCTGAACGATGACACGAGCTAAAGAGCAGCAAACAATGGGAAACCACTCTTCAGTCTCGAGCAATCTCTAGGTCAAAAACTGCGGGAATACTCTGCCTTGGCGCAGTCGAAGAGCAACAAGGCAGGAATGCCCTCCGAAAAGCCTGTTTGTATCTCTTCTTAGTCAAGTTGTAGATCAACGGATTGATGCAAGAGTTCAAGACGACTAAAACGCCGGACAAGACTTGAATGTTCTCGTTGGTATCCCAGCGAGCATCACCAAGGGCGTCCTGGATGTAACTACCGATCACAATGACACACCTCGGCGTGTTACAGACGAAGAACACCAGGCTGTTTACAGCAAGCATCTTGGTGATTCGGACCCGCGACTGGTGAATCTTTCTGATCCATACGGGCACTTCCTTCCCGGGATGATTGATGTGAAGCACAAACCGATCTCTGAGAGTCTTGATGATGCGCGAGTACAGCCAGCAGTTTAGTGCCAGACAAAAGACGAACGGAAGGATTTTGAAGATGTCACTGAGAACTGAGGACGGCTCAGACGCGTCCGTCTTGCCGCAACTACTGACAGAGGGGCTCTCTGGTGGATCCGGAAGAAAAGCTGGACAAGGTTTCGAAGTCACGATACGTTCTAAAAACACAATGGTGCTGTAAATGAAACTGCAACACCAGGCTCCGGCCACACCCTTCAGGCTG